CCACCACTGCCGGTCGTGCCGAGCTAGGCCAATAAACAACATGGTAATGAGCGACGTTCTCCGTCGATGAGAGCACGGCCATGAGTGTTAAACAACCCTGTCGCCGCCCGCCTTCCATGCAGCAACATTGAGCGTTGCTGTGAAGCAGCACCAAGCTGCTGCGGGCACGTTATTTCTGATGTTCCGATCCCGTCCGTGTACGGCGTGCGCAACGACTGCTTTGGCGATCATTCGTGTGTCTGGTAAGTGGCCTGGTCTCTTACTGACCGTGTGCGAGCGAATGTTTACGATGGCCCGCAATCAGTTGAGCTAAGTCGAATCGCCTTCGCTCGTTTCTTTTGCTGTTCTGTTCAGTCGACATAGCCTCCTTGCTTGCCGGCTCTACCCGCGCCATCGCCGATGGCTGGCGCTGATTCCCGAATAGTGATCATGGCCGAAACTGCAGCTGCGCCGCTAGTCTGTAGCGATGGCGTTGCCGGCTAAAACGTTGCCGTCACACGAACGGCACACTACATCGACCGAATGGTGAGTGCCGTTTGAGTGGCGTGTCTGTATTTAGCCTTGCGTGGTACTGGGACTTCTCGATAGTGACGCCTACTTTGAACTGGCGGCGTTCTAGAAATTGCGCCACTGCAGCGGTCGTTCGTGGTATAGCTACTGCTGTACTTCTGGTAATCGTGCTGATGGTGGTATTCTGCTGGCGACTTCTTTGTTGCTGGCTCTCCTCGTCTGTGTCTATTTGGCGGCTCGGTTCGAGCGTCAGCAGCTAGGGATCCACTAGCTTCGCTTCACCGAGTGTCGAGCAGCTGCCAACAACGGCAGGCCTCTTTTAGTCCAATGGCTATACGCAAATATAAGGCTTTGAGTCATCGACTGGCAGATACACACAGACGGCACACAAACAACAGCCGCCGTTGTCCGCAGCCATCAGCGGCAAGCACAGGTCTGCGTCAAGATAAACACACAGCCAAAGCTACCCAGACACGCGATAGTACAGACGGAGCGGCCTCCAATAGCGGCCGCTTGATATCGACACGCGCACTCAGTGAGCGACATAGCCAATCGTAAATGCAGCCACGTCGGTGTTCCCGGTAGAATTCAGTAGCGTCGCTACGACCAGCCGTGCCAAGTCCGCCAGCCGACGGACCTCCCCAGCGGCTTACAGCCGCTCGCCTCAATGACGGGGTTCCTGTGTGTGTGTTCCATCCTCTCTGCAACGACTGTCAGTTTAGCAGTTCGCTGGCTAGATCGCCAGTCTCATACAGACACAAATAGAGGCGTAATCCTATATACTCAAAGCGACACGGACACTCTACCCAGCCGACGAGCGGAGCGGTCCGTTTACAACAACGGCACTGGCACCGATATCCGGTACTGTCCTAGTCCGCTAAATCAGCGGCGAATAAGCAGGCGAGTCTGGCGGTTGTAACACCGCTTCTGCGGCCACTGGCCCATAGGAAACTGCCATAAGAAGGCCGCCGCCGCAGCCGCACCCGCCGCCGGTGCTGCAGACCGTGATACGCGCTCGTCAACGGGCTCCCCGAGAGGCAATATCGGAACACTCGAAGCGGCTATTTCATATCAAAGTGAATCTATTTTTGGGAGAGTCCGATCATTTACCTCTCGAACAAACACGACATCGGCCAGGCAACCTGGCGCGCACACGCCGCATAACCATCATGGCCGCGGACAGGGTAAGCGGTAGGGTCAGCTTGGCAGTTTCTTGCCGTCCAGCCCGCCCGTCAGCCAGCCAGGTTGTACAAGACCGAGTAAACTAAACGAACGAACGAATGCCCAACAAGCCAAATAGCACGCCAAGCTTTCTGTATAGAAAGGCCTGCCTTTGCTTTCGATGCCTATTCTGGCAAGAGGCGGCAATAGCGACGACGATGACAACGCACCCGCCGACGGTGCCTATGGACCAATAGCGGAAATAGGGCCGTGGAGGACTACAGCAAAAGGAGGCCAACGAGCGACTGTAGCCGGCAAGCGAGTCAGTCACCTCACACGATGACGAACCAACATCAAATGGCTAGGGACTGTTGCGGCGGTGAATGTGAATTTAGTCAAAAGTGCAGTTGTTGTTTTCAGAGAAACCTTTGCAGCAGTACTGCACCTGGTCGATAGAAAAAATGGTCAGGTGACACAGCCATTGAGCTGGAGGGAGGCGGGGGAAGCGGAAGAGGAATGGTTTCCCCAGTGTAGCCGTATAAATGATTAAAACTATTCATATTATAATGGTGGTAGGAGGGAAAAGTAATACACAAGGCATATAGAAGTGAAACTAAATTTAAGCTAAGTTCGAACACTTTATATAAGGTTGAACATGTAAGCGAGAAGAATAAACACATATATAAGCTACACACAGCAGGTGAATCTGACCCTTCTCAGCCTAACCATATGGTGCTGTAGGTAGTACTACGTTTGAAATACGATAGCTCGACCGGGTTTTGCCTACTTAGAAGCACAGACAAAGTACACTAAATTGAAGACCTACGAAGCTCAGTGCTGTTAGTGAATGTTAGGCATTGCTGCTTACTTGATTAGGTGGGCGTCCTCCTTAAGGTCTAATCATAAAACAGAAACGATATAATTGCCCTGTAGTTTATTCAAATACATATGAAGCCTCTCGAAATAGCAACGTATTCAATGACTTTTTCAGTCTATTCAAATTAGAATGACAGGAAAATTATTTTTTACCGGTCCCTGCTTCCATTATTCCGTACTTACAAACGTGTGTGCGCAAATAAGAAAATATTCTTCGGAAATGTTTTCCAATGAATGTGACCCGCACTCCACCGACAAAAAAGCCCCTTGTCCCGCCAGTTTTCGTCGCCTGGATATCGGTAGTTAAGTGCTGTTGTCAATCGATACAACAGCATCTTGTGCCGTTCGAATGACCCCGTGTTTCGACTCCCCTTAGAACTGTTGGCGGGTGCTCGGGACGTACGCATGTGTCAAGCTAGTCTTGCACAATAACGATGGCCCGAACCTAGTGTCACCGCCGGAAACAGAAATATCTACTAGACAAACGAACGAGCCGCCGATGTCTATGACCATCCCTAGCAGTTTCGCGCTCAAGCATTTTCAAAGATCGCCGAACGGCCGTAGTGGCAAAAGCTTGAGTCAACCGCCGCAGCCTAGACGGTCTCCAATTACCTACCCGTGTCGCGACCTCACCGCTGCTGAACTCATTTCTTAGCGGCCATATGGCCGCTATCAGAGCGCAGAAAGATGATAACGGGCGGGATAAAAGTCTCTGTGGGGTAAAGCTATTCGATCAACTGTAACGGCAGTAGCTGATGCTGCTATCGGGCAAACCGTCGCCGGCGTCACCACCAACGAAACTTCCACCCATCGACTGACAAAAAGCTAGCCAGCCAAGGGATCAGTCCATGGAAAAACAGCGAAATGGTTCAGCAGGGTAGGCAAGCGCCAGGCCGAACTGCTTCGATTTTTCTGTCCTGCTGCCGTTGCTCGTCTGTTCCTTGGTTTATCTGTTGTTTCTTAGAGATATGGGTTTGTTGTTGATCGTAGTGATGGTGGCAATGGCGCGATGGCATTGTTTTCCTTAGTAGAAGCCAATATCACAGACAGGGGCCACTTTCGCTGTGTCCCCTATCCTAAATATATGTTTCTGCGTAAACTCATTCTGGCGCCTCTGCTGCTCTGATTGTCTTCTGCGACCGATACTGCGTGTGTGTTTGCATGTGTGTGTTTTCGACGAACGCACGCCCCATATACCACACATTTACACGCATGCACGCAGTCAAAAAGTCCCCCATCACAGACGCATACAAAGCGACGCAGCGAACATCAAACACACGCAGTCAGTCGATGTCGCCCGGTGAGTCGAGCCAACTCAACAGCGAATAGCGAACAAGAGTTAACGAGTTGTGTCGCGATACGCTGCCAACGCCGGCTTTCGCGTAGCTTTGACTAGCGTGCCTGCTATCATCGCTGGATTCATTCGTTTGGTGGTTCGGGCGGTGCTGAGTCGTCCGTTCGGCCGACTCTGATAATCGCATAGCGGCAATACCTGCAGGGCTGTGGCGGCGCAGCAAAGTTTATCGGACGATGACGACGACGACAACTATGAGAAGAAGGAGGAGGAGGAGGAGGAGGGGGAGGAGGGTTCGCTATTGGCAGAATTCGCTCATCGCTTTGGTGGTGTGCACCAGCTCGGTATACACCTCCGGCCTGCGTTCGTTCGGCTGGCCGGCCAAGCGGCCAGGAGAAATATATTTCGTTACTGCTGTATAGCAGGGATGTTTGTAGCAGCAGCAGAAGCGCTTGATGCTGCTAGAGGCAGTGTTCCAAGACAGCATGACTGAGTAGAAACAGACATCCGCTGGTGCCTGTCTCCTACTGCTAGTTCACGCACACACACAGCATCGTGATTCTGCCAGCCTCCCATCCTGCTTAGCTGGCTAGCCGGCTGGCAGGCAAGCAAGCAGATTCGGCATGCCATTAAGCGGGGTCGCTGGCTGATCCGATGGTTCGACTCGGCTTTCTGCCGCCGTCGCTGCCGCTGTTGCTGATGCTGCTGCTTTTGCTGGGGTTGCTACGACGGCCGCTGCCGAGGAGGTCTCCGGGAGAGTCCGAGAGTGGCGCCCTCGTTGGCGCCAAAACGAAACTCTCGTCGTCATGTTAGCCGTACTAGCTGGCTGGATGGCGGCAGCAGCAGCGATGGCGGCGGCGACGACAACAACGACGACGAACTGAAGCCATAGCCAGCAGCCAACACGGTCAAGTTGGCTGGCACAGGCTTGTGCTGGTGTGCTGCCCTACAGCAAAGACTCGCTTTGTGTGTGGTGGCGCCGATCGTATCCCCTACTACTACTACTGCTGCTGCCGCTACTGCTGCTGCTGCTGCTGCTGCGGCGGCGGCGGCGGCGGCGGCGGCGGCGGCTGCTGCTGCTGCTGCTGCTGCTGCTGCTACTACTGCTGCTGCTGACGGTGTGTTTCTTGTTGGTGTGGCTGAGCCAGTCGCTCTGTTGGTTGGTTGGCTGGCTGGTTCATTTGGCTGTCCATCCTTGTATCGCTTGTGTGTGCTGCAGCCGTGACTACTCGATCCGCTGCTGCTACTGCTGCTGTTCTGGCCGCCGCGCTGTGCTGTGCTGAGTGTTGTAAGGAGACAACAGCATAGTATTATTATTATTATTGTAGAGACACACTGATCGCCAGTGAGTGGTGTTGGTGGTAGTGAGAGACTCGGCTCCTCCGCAGGCTGCCATCTAATTCGCATACGACAATCGTTCTCAACCAAGCGACGTTGCCAGGTCTCCCCGCGTTTCGACTCTAAGCCAGCGCCCGTAGCTCCGCCGTGTAGGAGAGCTGCTGCTTTCTTCGACGGAAGGAGTCCACTGTTCGCCAGCGACAGCCGCGACTCAGCTACCGCTGCTGCTGCTGCTGCTGCTGCTGACGACGACGACGACGACGGTATTCACGACGACGACAACAACAGCAACAACAACGGTAATATCCGCGATAACAACAACAGCCACCACAGCAGCAGCGCACACACATTTCGCAGCGACGGTCGACGGCAACACTTTTAGTAGGGCCAAATCGGCCAGGAGTAACCGACAACGCCATAGGCCGCGAGACGCGATCAGGCAGGCAGGCAAGCAGGCAGGCAGGCAGGCGATTGAACGTGGTGGCAGTAACAGCGTTTTGGCTGGCTGGCTGGCTGGCCGACTACTACATTGGCAGCCACATTGGCGTGTGTGCGGATAGACGACAACAGCATCGATAGTGCTAGCAGCATTCACAGTTAGTACTCGCAGCAGCATAACAGCTACTGTAACAGCAGGAATAAGAGCAGCTACTGCAGCACAGTGCCGTTGCTGCTGCTGCTGGTGTGGTGTTTGTGGCTTGTGTTAGTGGTGTTTCAAGCAAGCGAACAACGCAACGCGACGCGACGCAGCAAGAAGAAGCCAACCAAACTGAGACAATTCTAACAAAGTCGAGTTGAAAGTTAAAAAGAATAAAATTACTATTGCATCGACTATAGCATCAGCGACGATGGCGCACAGCAGCGATTCGACGATCCAGTTTTTCAAGAAAGCGTCCCCAGAACAGTGGACCTATCTCCTCAGCTGCTACAAAGAGGCGGTAGGCGCCAAAGCCCAACTGAGGACCAAAAAAGGTGGACCTGAACAGTACCTCAAGCTCGATGCCTGGTGAGTTGTTAAAGTTCGTCGTGGGCTGTGTAGCAGGTCATCAGCGAGCTGCTAGCCACAAGCCAATATTACTAGCGACAGTATATATATATATATGTGTATATATATATGCACACATATATTTTTAAATATATATTAATAATTATAATAACATTATATCATTCTGGTGCCGTGCATACCCGACGCCAGTTAGGTCGCCTACTTGGTTCAACAAGTCCAGGCTGTACCGACTCGACTATGACGTGAGGGAACCCTCAATCTAGCAATGAATGTACATATACTCTCTCATATATATATATATATATATGTATATATATATATATATATATATATATGTACAGAGAGAGAGAAAGGGAGAAATAGATATATGGTTTCTATAAATTAGTTGGTGCAGAAGATGGGTGTACTAACAGTGAATCTTGAATAATGCGTATCGGTTCCTTAAAGGTGGCAGGTGCGAATTTACGCGCTGGATTGTTGCTAAGTTATTAGTTAGTCTGTTACCGCTAATGATTTAGTTTGGTGAATCGCTGGTAACTATTGGTGGAGGGGCTCGGCAGTCGAATAGCGGCCCAGAGCAGCGATCGGTTCAAACGCAGCCGACCATAGGCTGTATCCCGTAATAGTGTTTATCCCGTAACCGTGTCCCAGAATGCTGATGTGGGCCCGTGTTTTGTGTGAACTATACCGGGTCAATAGTTCCTATTTCCCGAAGTGCGACTCCCCTGCCGGTCGTGCTGCGCCCCCGCAAATATCTCCAGGGGGTAAGCTCCACGCCATTACGCACCTCTAAAAAAATTTTTCTTCTCCCTCTCAGTCCCTGGGCTAAAACATCCGACCAAATCCTTTCGCGTCCCGTTCCGTCGTCTCATGTTGAGTTCGCCCAGTATGTGTTGTTGCTCTAGCAGCAGTCTTTGTGAACAACCCGGTAGCCATCAAGGCAGCTAGTAGTGTTAGCCCATGTGTGTTAGTCTTATCGATGGCGGTAAGAAGCGATTGGCGTTTCGCTCATCGCTCGTTGCTGTAGCAGTCTACATAGCTGACAGCGTCGTTCTAGCCGGTATTTTATGAGGAGATGATTGCTACTGACGAAAGATTAACGTTGGCTTGTTTTAGAGAAAAGGGAAAAGCACAACGGAACAAAAGAACAAAAAGACCAACCTAACAGACACATAAGTTTACTAGCAGATTGTGACGTGCTTCTACGAGTATATAAAATACGTAAATAAAATATACGCAAATTACGGCTAGCGACGCGGTATTATAAGTGATCGAGCAGGCCTTCAATTGAGCTATGGGCAGTTAGCTCCTCTGTCAATAGCACGAGGAAAACGAGAAGCAATAATGCAAAAGATCAGGTGAGCGTGTCACGTAGCATTGAAATCCGTTGCTGAGCCAGGTACTAATGGAACAGCTGGAGCAGCTGGAACGCGTGTTCGCCTCCGATCTCTTGCTGACGTTTAACTGTTGTGACCACTGTCACATACAAAAGGTGCTTCATGAACAACTAGCTGGGGATGCCTATATGAGAACCTTGTCGTCCATGAAGTTCTGATCTGCTCCTGTATCCAAATGGGAAAACGATACCACTACACACTTTATTAGAACCTGCGCAGCCACAACGGCAGCAACAGGACAGACGTGACAGGACGCGAGCGACATTTGTGAGTCGACAACGTTCTCACATCGTGATGGTGATGATGACACCGACTATGGTCATGGTAAATCACGCGAAATATTTTTGTTCGAAAGAGCGGTGGAAATCGATCAAACCGAGCCGGTATGAAGGGTGTCATACGTGTCAATTTGTAACGTCAAATGACTCATAAATTCTCAATCAGCGAAAAAAAACTCACATAATCGAGCGCCATTTGCCGATTAGTATGATTCTGGTGTTTCGTTTTTGTTGACCTCTGTCATTTGACGCGGATTCGACGCTGAGGGCGAGGCCAGCCCGATGCTACTCGATGGATTCTGCTGAAATGCGTTTGCGAATTCTGTAACGCATTCTGACATTCAGTAAGCAATGTGTATGTGTACATACGTGTATGAGCCGTTACCGCCAATTTTCGATCATATAATGACACAAAGAAGAGCGTCGGTAAGCACAAATTACTACAATAAAATTTTCGCAATTATATACCAATCATAATAGTACTAATCATTTTATCAATAACAATAATAATTGTACCTGTTTTTACACCCTCAACAAAATAACCAATCAACGCAATCGCAAACATGGGTCACAAGTCACACACTTGTGACTTAGTCGTTGTCGGTTGTCATCTAGTTTGTCCATGTGCTAATTTCGCCGAATGAGCACTCTTTAGGTTCCCAGAAGGACAACACAACCTCGTCGAACCATATGACAGTGGGATATGTTCCAAACGAGTTTCAGCGGCACCGCTGCCGAATTTGCGCCACGCGTGCGCCCGTTTGCCCGCCACTCGGCGCCTCCGGCTGCTTGTGGTATCTTGCACGCCGTTCTTGGGCTACATTTGTTTATCCCTGAAAATAGACTCACCCCCATTCGTTTACCCTAACCACCTTATCCCGGCGCTTCGGCCTCGTCTCACTTTAGCTGTTCTCGTATCCCCCACCGTGACCCAGGGAAAGCCAGCCTTGTCTCTCTTTCCCTTCAAGGCTGCCTTCAAGGCCTCCAACAGTGGCAGTGGAATTTCAGCCCCTCAGCGTTATGCCCCCTATCTCGATTGACACCCCCCTCGATTCATTCCTCTCAAAACTGCTGCCGCTACCGCCACCGCCAACTACCGATGGCTTCATGCTGCTTTGCTTGTCCGCCTCTTCCAGATTTCGCGCCCAGCAGCTTCTTGAACCGTAGACATTTCCACCTGCCGCCGCACTTCCGTCCCGCTTGTGTTCCTACAAAATGCCCTTTTCCCGCTTCGTTTCTCTCCTTGGTTGGAGCTCCTCTATTCCTTGTCCTTCCCATGCTCTGCTTTCTTACTCTAAATCGTAGAAAAGGGGATAGCACGCCCCCGAGTTGTAAGGTTACTCAATTGGTCGCTGCACATTGATGGACTTCCCCAATGGCCCCCGTATTCACACAATCTACGGGTGCCGACGGATATTGAAGTAGTCCAATGATATCACTACCAATGTTGCTTCTGAGACGTTGTTCTATTGCAGCAGGCCTGTTTGGTGGCTCACGGGCAGGTTTTGTTTAGAGTCTGCACGAACGACCTCGCAGCAGTGGGTGGGTGGCTGAGAATAGTTGTTTACTGGCAGAAACCGATAAAGAAGGGGAGTTCCGCGCGCTACAAAATCCATGTGGCATCGTATAAGACTGGGCGAATACACATGATAGCTGAGCGAAGAAGCTGGAGAAGTTGGGTCGTAAACAATATATGACTGGACTCTATAGATTTTTGTGGGGATTCGTGCCAGCAATGTCTAGTTAATTTTTCATAATGGAAATCTAATTTATCATAATAGGAATGCATATCCTTTGTACGCAACGTAAGCACAAAGAAAGCTCGAGGAAAGATAGCATTTCAAACTAAACCGGGTCGTAATGACTGAGCTGGATCGTTCCTCGTCGTTCGAGTACGTTAAAATGGCAAGTAACGTTGGTTAAACGTTCCTTGCCATTTTATCTGATCAAGCGGATTTAAAGACATTTCTTTAAAAGCGACGGCGCACTTGATTTTCTTGCATAACGATATTATCCAGTGAACGTATTCGTCAGAGTCAATATATACAAAACCAGTTACGTAATGTAACATGAACACCTATTGATCGTTATTTATGGACCACCTATTGACTCGAAACTTGGTCTTTCACTTTTACTTCAGACCCTATTATAATTCTATACCATTCAGGCCTTCTATTGCCGATGGCTCCCCTTGGCGATCGCCACTAGTTGAAGCTGTCCCGATCGATCTCGCCTTATGGGCTACTGCAAAGTAATTTTGGTGTGTCGCTATGGGCTGGAAAGTTTTTGCCCCTAAAGAGGCGAGGGTTCCCAAGGCCACAAGGGGTGAATGACCTCAAGGTTGGTAGCCCGGTCGGTTATGGCAGAAACGTACGGAGCAGTAATCAACAAAAGGGGAAAGAGGGACCCTTCAGCCCAGTTCAGCAACAGCAATGGGGTCGAGGTCAAACGAAGTTACCCTCGTGTGTGAATCGAGGAAAAGTAGAATGGAAAGAGTAACAAGCCTACGCGAAGTGTTTATACTCCAAAGACAAGCAAAATTTCGACTGAAGCTATGGCTCAATAATTCCTACCTTCAGGCCAGCGCATAATTTTGTAACGCAATTTCATTTAAGGAATGTAAAGAGGAGCGTTTTGTTAAATTAAACGGGCCAGATTTGATAAATGATGCAATAATAAACCAAGAGTGTTCATAACTGTCAATGGCAGCAAAGTACCCAATAGGGTTGTAATTGCTGCTAGATTTCAGATAATCAACGAGTGTTCTGCCGTATAGCGTCCTGATTATCTAGAAAACAACTATATCTGAGTTCAATAGAACACTCTGATGTAACGTGTGCAGTGAAAATACAATTAATTGTATTGTTTTCGGACCCAGAGCTTAGACGGAAACGAATCTCTTTGTTTATGGTTTAGTTTATTCTAATTTCCTTCCCTATGCGTCGAGGGAATGTGCATCTCGCGCCTGACATCATTTTTAAATATAATGCGTCACAGCCCACCGATACGTTTTATCGTATTAGTGGTCACAGTGGCCTTTAACTTGTCTTGTTTGTTTTTCAATTCAATCACATATAATTTGTTTAGGCTGAATGACTGTACATTAAAGGCGAGAGAAAATGCTGAAAGTTTCGAAAAAAGCCTACTTTCGTGCCAAATGTGCAAAAAGTTTTACATAAAAGCATCTGGAATACTCTGTTCCGAATGAATTACAATGTTACGAAACATTATTGTAGAGGGCGTTTTGGGTGTTTCCAATTTTCGCAGTTACAGGTTTCTTCTACACACTTACACGTTTTCTTCTTAGGTATACACGATCATAAATTATTTTAGAAAGCACTTAGATAACGCAGTGTTGGTAATACTTTTCTAAAAAACAGCTCAAATAAAGAGTATCGTCTGATCAGCAGACGCCCTCACTTTGCTTGTTTTGCACAATTTTTTTGAAAAGTTTGAAAGAAGAACACTTTGAGATGATAGTCCAACATTCTAATATCTATTAATAATGTTGTGCGTAGTCGATCAATTTTTCGTCGAATTTTTTGTCTGGTAGACCTATTGCGATTGGCTAACGTCAAGGTGCTCCGACAAAAATGAGTCTTTGCGCATACGTATACACTATACGTTGAGTTTTACTAGCTCATTCCTTCATCGAAACGTCAATAGGTTGATCGGAGCCTGTAATCTACCGGATGGTGGTGCAACACTGCCCTAGATTCGCCGTCGCCACCCCAAATGCCAATAAAGACTAGGCCCACCAGGTAGCCAAATAAGTCGAGTCATGTCGTCATTGCATAAGCATTGTCAAATCACAACTGTGACCTACCTTATCTTATGTAAGTTTTTCGATTTCATTCATATTCAGGTACCAAGATACATTGCCAAAGACGATCCGAAGTCGTAAGGACCCTCATCTGGAATACAATGAGCTGGTTGATATAATGAAATGGAAGTTGATGCGTAGTAAGTACAAGCCGGCGGCGCTGGACCTCGTCAAAACTAACACTGAAAAGAACGTCAAAGCGACCACACAGCGTGCTTTCAAGCGTATGCCAAAGCTCGAAATGGCCATCCAGGCCCTTACAAGTAAGTCTGTTGTTTGTGTGCTTTTTGCTAAAGTTTTTTTTCTCTGTCTGAACAATTAATTCACCGCCCTCATATGTAGGCATCTCTTTTACCAACCTGCATCATACTACGCGACTGAATGAGATTCTAGCGAATACTTGAAGGTGGATAAGAACGTTCCGGGGCTGGGAACCCCTAATTCAAAATCGCTTAATTTCTAAAAGGAATTTATATACTCGTCTTAGTCTTGATAAATGCTCGATTTTCAAAGCGGATTTCGTCCACACTTTCCAATGAACCCCAATGAACAGAGAGACCTCATGATTTCTGTTTATTCATGAGGTCGCCGTATCGAGGTGGTGTGCGTGAATCAAACAGCGCAGTCCAGATAGTTTTAGTACTCTATCAAATACTGGCACCTACACCTACAATCGCGTAGAAACACAGAACAGTGCACACCCACGTTGACAACCACACGAGCAGACAGATACTCGAGACATTCGCGCAGGATACCTTAAGCTCCCTACCGACACCAGTTTGCCTGCTGTTTCCTTGCTAGCGGGACGTAATGGGCTGCGTATGACAAGCTGACTTGGGCGGTCTGTTTCAGCAAAGATAAACGTAAAGAAACGCGTCGTTTGCTGCCGCCACCGGGTCTAACGGTGACCAAATACAAGACAGTGCGGCGGCAGTAACGACAACGAAACGACTCCCGATCGGTATTTCTACGGTTCGTTATAGTGAGCTAACCAAATAATCAGCGCAATAGTAGATTTACGAACAACAACATCGCCGCTGACTAGCGCCGGCGATCACTACGGATGTTCCTATCTACGAATGACTCTGCGCGCTTACCCATTCGGCCAACGCTACTGCTATGTTGATTGTTGGTGTGTGAGCGACCGCTCTTAGAAAAGTCTCGAAGTAGCGGCAACAGGATCCATAGGGCTCTCTAAGGTGGCGCCAGTCCCACAAAGTTGCTTTGGTGATCGAACGGTGGTGGCTGTTCCCCGGTGCGTGACACACCCGTTATCACCTGCTGTTTGGTACAGATGTACAGTATAGTTGCATAATAATAATAACACTACCAGTATGGTGATATCTGTGACGCACTCCAGCGACTATCATCACATCGCGTACTCAGGGTAGGATAATTAACAGATGGAGCAGTGAGCAGTAAATTGTAGAAACGAATCGGCAGTCTAATAGGTGGTGTGAGTCAGCTACTAGGTACCCGGACGAAACACATCGAACAGCAACCAATAACCACCGTAAACAGGCAAATGAACATGCAGCCAGCCGCTGTAGCTACGTGGAATAGTTTATCATTTGTCACCTACATATGCATGATGTGGTTTAACCCATCATTCTGACTTAACCAAAAGGGGTTTCGGGTTTTACGTGCAGCAATACACCCTTAAAAATTGCTTTTCCAGACGGCCGGCGTTCCCCATCCAGCACGAAACGAGCCGTCTGTCTACGCCCGGTTTCGAACCTCGACCATCACCACCCTACATATTCCTAAGCTTAGTAGACCAATATGTTACTATGAAAAACACGTTGCCGAAAAAAATCACCGAAACACCTTATCTGAGCTACAATAGCAAGAACTAGGAAGAAACACCAGCACGAGGGAGTAGTTTCACGCCGATAGCCGACGGTTGCTGGCGATGACTGTCGTGATCAGACAACAGCAGCTGAAGCAGTCCCAGCAGCAGCAGCAACAGCAGCAATGATCCACAGTCGTCATGGCCGCCCGCGATGCCATTGACACCCTTGAAGGTTTAATGCTGCCGCTACTGCTACTCCGGCTGTTACAGCTGTCGCAACTTACACATCACAAACATATTCCTAGACAAACGGAGAGACAGACAGACAGACAGACAGGCGTACGCAGGTACAATCAGACAGGCAAACAGGGAATAAAAGATACAATGAGAGGCAAACACGCCGTTCATAGAATGACATACATCAACCCTGCATGTTCGGCGCGTTCGTCACCCACCGCCGTTCTGGGAACTCGTCGATGGCTGTTGGTGGAAGAGAGAAAGCTAGAGGGCGAGAGGGGAACTTAGGCGAGGGGAAAGAGCTTGTCGGCGGCGGCGGCGTTTCCTGCAGCTACTGCGTCAGCGTCTGAAGAAACTTCAATGATTTTGCCAGGGTAATGTTGTTGACCCACTAGCTAGTTGTCTGCATGTTATCATGCCATCATGGGCGATAATCATGTTGTTTTGAGTTGGCTCTGTTAGCCATGAGTATAAAATAATTGCGTTGCGGACACTAATTAATCAATCTTTTCAGCGTAGTTGCTGTGGCTGCTGTTGTGTTGGTCGTTGTCGTTGTTTCTATAAGTCAGCTTCGCCCATATGATCTTGCCGTTACTATTACGCGTTTCTTGTTAGTCTCTTGTTAGTAGAGCTCTAGTAATAGTTGTCAGATTTGTTTTATACTATTTTTTTTTTCGCATTTTCACATTTTCGCGCACATTTATTCTGGCGATGCCTCTATGTATAATCATGCCGAGCGCACATAGCTTTGTGTGTAGTATGGTATATAACATATGGCGTCAGTATATAAAAATTTACCCAAGTTTGCACCCTTTCTGCCAAATACGTACCGTACTAGACAAAACCTACAAAACATTCATATGTATGTACGCAACTACCGTAGAATCGCCCCTTTACACTTTTTGCCCTTCCCATGAGTCGCTTGTCCCCTTTATTTCCTATTTCTTAAATATATGCCCTCACTTTTTTCCTTGTTATTTTATGGTTCTTTTTGTTGTTATGGAAGTACCAGTAGCTATAATAGGCGTTATGGCTATTCTTATCCTGCGACGATACTTTTCTAATTTCTATTCTCAGAACGAGTATTGTCTTTCCTTAGCCTTCCCTTTAAATAGGCTTCATGCTAACGTCCACTTGCAATAACAGTCATCTTTGTCGCCGTTATTAGTGTTACTGCCGTTGCGACAACTATGCAACAGATAATAGAAGCTATTATCTCAAACAGCTTTATTTTTAGGCCTGCAAGAAGAAGGTCTACTTAAATTAGGGATACAGTTGCTTTTTAGATGTATATCTACACTACTGGAATGAGAAGTATCAGATCTCTTAAGAGCAGAATCAGCTTAATTAAACAATTTGATTATGTTGTTAATAAACAATAACACTGGGCCATGTGCGTCACTACGTGATATAGCAAATCTTTAGCAAAACCCACGGCGGGTTTGAACGATTTTTCATCCCACTTCATCTTCGCTGGAGACATGCTTTTTTTTTTTGACATTTATTAGTAGTAACATATAATTGGTAGAGATGATTGCCTTCGTTAGAATTACCGAACAACGACAAGAAGCTAACAATCTACGTGTGCCATTTTGACTGCTCGAGGTTTACACAAGGCCATATAGTTGGCTTCGCATGAAAAGATTGATTTCATCAATTTCACACAATCGACGGATAGATTTTTTTGGCACCAACCATAATGATGCTGATTAAGTGTGCCTTTCAAAACTAAATTACAAGCGTAACAACGCGCTCTTATTATTATTATTATAATAATGTCTCAGCCGGAACGACTGCTTTCGTAAGTATTTCTAAGATCTTTTTGTCGGCATGCGGTTTTTCAATTTCCTTTACGGACTATCGACTGAATATAATATTCGGTTTCTTTGTGACTCTAATTGCAATTAAGAACCTACTCTTACAAATTAGCTCACTTGTCAGCACCTATAGCAATCAGCTGTCAATAATGTCGTGAGGCTGTGTTTATGAATAGTTCACTAAGCAACTTATTGTTAATGCTTAAGCCACTCAGCCAGTAGAGAAGTAAATTTAAAGGGTAAATCATTTCATAGACCGTATATCTTCTCGCAAACGTTATTAATCGCATTACGTATGTAAATTAGAATATGGGAACAGAAACGACGTCAGCGAAAACAACAGTGACAAAGGTAGCGCTGTGCTCCACTCTGCGATTTTTCGCGCCGTTAGAGAATTCGTCGCTGGCATTCATTTGCATACATCTTGATTATAATGATGGCAGGGGCAACGTTCAGAATATGATAGCGGTAGTAATCAAACAGTATTTTACTCGCTGTTTAAGGTAGCGCTGACTGCTCCAAAGCTTTTATTCTGTTTGACCTGAAGCCACAGCAAGGCGGACAGGCAACTTCAAGCTTGCAAGATGGCTGCGTAGAAAGGAAGCATGCAACACCAGAACTATGCGGGTCAAAGAAGAGATGGCATTAACGTCGTCAAAGTCGATATTGTTATATCTACTGACGAGAGATGAACACAAGGGCGGATGGCCTGCAAAACCCGCTTATGTAGAGCCAGTCTAAGGAGATTGATCGGAACCATTTATTTTTTGTTTCATCTGATCTCTATGAGCAGCTTAAGTATTAAGCTTCCATATATGTATAGATTTTCAGCATCAATCTTGAATCAATTTTGCGCAGTAATAATATAAGTTCTATGTCAAGGTAAGCGTAGGTGGTGTTAGGTTATGCACAGCTCAAGCCGACAAGAAAACCGCTTTCTACGAAGAATATGAATGAAGATGTCCGAAAAAAGATATCAAAGAGTATAGAACAGTTTGGCAGTGTAGCTTTCATAGTGTTGTTTTAACTAAAAAGACAAGAGAAGCAGCCTTCATGGGAAAACGAACTGTATACGATATTTAATGAATACGATATAATTAACGGTACTATACTGAAATATTTTAAGCTAATACCTGGCTCCAGATAATTCGCGGAGTTATTTTTTCAAATCCAATCTCTGATTTTCACCGAAGTAAAACATCACTACAACAAACATAAAACAATGAATTTGTGTATCTGTATAGAGTTGCATGTGCGGCATACAAGCATCTCGTTTAAATATCTCCATGAGACAAAATCTCCACTTGATCACTATCGCGTTTTTTTTTCGTTATGTACTCATTTTTATAGTTGGCCTGAAAGGTATCGGAACGGCGACCGCCTCGGCAATTTTGGCAGCGGCCTTCCCCGACTATGCTCCATACATGGCCGAAGAATGTATGGTATCGACACCGGACGTCGAGGCTGAGGACTACACACAGGCCGAATATCTCAAATATGCTGATCACTACCAGAAGTTCGCGAAGAAACTCGAGGAGAAAGACGAAAAAGGCGACTGGAATCCGCACAAGGTAAGTTTATATTGAAAAGTATATATATATAAAACACGTTAAAGGGTTCGATGCGAATTATGATGGAATTACAAAATAGTTAAACTCCTTTATTAAACCGGGTACTATATCACAGCAAATAGATACATAACACCGCAGTTTGGCTATGCTTTCTTAGCATAATTTTTACTCGACCTTGATTCGCTTGAAACACAAATCCCGACTTGCTTTCCAATCAGTCACAACGACAGCGGCTAATTCTTGCCGATCTCTTCCCTGTGCTCCCATCTAATCTGAACAGGTTGAATTAGCTATCTGGTCGCATTACGTCCTGCGTCTTCACAAGCCCGAGCTGTTAGACAAGATGCCTGGCCAGGTGGAAAGCAATGGTTGCGGCGATGAGGAATCAAACCAGGCTCCGCTAGGTGAGGGTCAAACCTTGTCCGAAGGACAGGGCAACGGTATATCTTCATCGTGTGATGACGACGACTCACAACAAAGCAACGGCACGCTTAACCAGGACGACAGTAATAGCCTTCCGCCTCATGTGACAGCCAATGGAAATGGTAACGGCACACCGACGGCAGCGTCCGCAAACAAAAACGGCCACCCGGAAAGCAACACGACAGACAATGACACTCGATCAAGCTTAGTTGAGGACCAGGACGCGTGCTGTGAGGAATCGCAGGACTCGCAGCAGCCCTCGCAAAGTTCACAGCCGGCATCTGACCTCGAGGTGTCACAAGATAGCAGCAGTGTCCAGACTGCTGTCGCAGGCCAGGTTCCGTCCACTGGATTAGCGTCTATTACGCCCGTTGAAGCAGCTACGCCTACTGCGCCGGTAGCAGCTGCCACAGGTGACATTGCCGCAACTACCGAAGCAGCCGTTACCGCCGACGAAGTTGCATCAGTGTCAGCTACTGGTGCGGTAAAGAGGCCCGCCGATGAGAACGGGATTGGTCAAGATTTGCATGTCGACCGGGATCTACCTGCATCAGAATGCAAAAAGCAGAAGCTTGATGATGCTTTAGCAACAGCGGCAGCACCCGTAGCTGAATCAACAACAACAGTAATAGCCACGGAAGCGACAACGGAGAAGACGACGTCACTCACAACGACAACAGCAGCAACAACAACAACAACAACAGTAGCAGCAGCAGCAGCAACTGCCGTGTCCGACGATGTCACGTCTGCAGCCCCTGTCGCAGAAAGCCAGTAGAATTGTGACGTAGTCTACGACGGTATGGCTGGACAGATGTTGAACAGGCGGCGGCCGAGGAGGGGGCAGAGCTGACCCCCGAGATCTCTCACGGAGAAAACAAGACAAAAAAACATTTTGTGTAGAAGCATTAATTCAACCACAAGAGGGCGACTGAATAGTCGGCATCAACAAGCGATGACAACTACCACAAAAGTTAAATAAAGCAGACGGCGTATGACGATATGATTGATGAGTGCAGAAGAAGAACACCATTATATAAAAGACATCAGTATGAACAGAAACTACAACTGCTACTAAAACAACAATTTCAACCATAACAACAACATCCACAACCACAAATAACTAACAGTAACGGAGATGAAGACTATCAACAAGAACCAATAATAGTAATAATAATGATAAGGATATTATTATATAGATATATACATGGATATACCTAAACATCACCAACAATGGCGGAAGACGATAAAGAAGCACAATTGAAGAGAGAGAGATACGAGAGAATGATGATTTAATGATAATGATGCCGTTAATATACATCACTGCTAATACTACCACAAACTACTACTATGATTATTATTACTACTACGATGATGATGATTTGCGGATAACACAGTTTATTACCTGAAGCGCACTCGATCTTGCTGTTGATCGACTTGAGAAGGCCGCCGACGCAACGGTGTTACGCCCCAGCGGTGTTGCCGCGTAAGAAGAATTCAATCTTTCAGGTAGATTGTTTTCTTGCTCGTTACTGAAACGGGCGGATCTTTGTTGCGCACCGAAATTGTGATGGCGCCAATTGTCTCCACTTTTCACCTAGCGGAGGAAGCCGGATTCGCGATTAATTAGTATATGAAATCTCTTTATGATGGCAACGCCTAAACGCACCCACATCGACAATTTTTTTTCGACTTTTAAATCGAAACAAACTTGTTGAGTAAAACTGTGGTATAGTTGAGCGAAAACTCAAAGAAAGGGTTTCCAATTGGTAACAGTTGTTTTAAGAGTTAATTTGGCTGAATGAGCGCAACCTGTCTAGCGGCAACGGAAAGGACGAGTGAGCCTAACGGAACGGAATGGAATACAAAGCGGGAATATGAGAGGAAAAAAACGACGAAAGCGCGACCTAATACAAATGGTGGTATAAAAGACAAATAATGATGGATAATGACAATAGGACTTTGGTCGTTGGTTTGCACTGGCAGAGTTAACAGGGGACGACGATGTGCCTAAGTGTGGATTGGTTTAGGTAAATAATAATAACACTGCTGCTGATAATGAGGATGGTGACAACGAAGTCTTGCGATACGGTGGAGATTAAAAGAGTCTGGCGCGCTGCGACGGCACGGAGCCTACTCCATAGAAACGTACGTATCTTTCTACACATGATGCATACACCCGAGATAGATTAGTTGAAATCTTCGTCTACGTAGACTTTGTTGCTGTCCGTTTATTCAACAACAGCTAAAAATGGCAACTAACTTCCGTAGGCGTTCGGTTTTCCTCCCCCGTTTATTGAACACTGGCTGGGATTTTGATTTCCTTTAGCCAAGAAGGCTGACGACTCATTGCAGCCCGGAATACAGATGCGACTCTACAAATCCGAAAGCAAAACGCGACGGTAGAATAGCACACGATAACAGAACAGGCTACAGAAAAGGTTGGATTCATCTATTGAACTAGGAGCAAAAACGCAAACTACGCCGGCAAATAATTACGATGACAATGCTGAAGTGTTTTAACACAATGCGCTTGCTCGTCGCAAGTATGTGAATGTCCACGAAACAGGATAGATACGCGTTAAGGAGAAGTTTCCCAAAAGCCAATGAATACGTTCACTCAGTTCGTTCATTCATTCACAGATTATCCAAGACGACAGTGATTATGAAGACTATGCTTACACATTGAACACAATTTATTGCGTATATACGAGATTAGCAGACGCACAGTACAAAGAAAAACGGAACTTTACTGGCAGGAATATAAGGGAGTAAAATTTAGGAGAGAAAGGATGTCACGGGAATAAGACAAAAGAAACGACGATTTCAAGCTGTATGTAAGGAGAGCCAGATATATTATTATTATATTGTAGATAATAGCTATCGTAACAACGGTGATGAAGCTGGCTGCATGCGATCGAGACATATTAGAAGACCAGCACACAACTGCAGCGAGTTGGAAAGAATTCTGTTGTGGCGTCCATCAGCGTAACTTACGACACGGCGTAGAAAGTTCAACGCGGAATTGTCTCGCCTCGGTGGTAAACTTAAATATGTTGTATGTCGTGACACCATGCCAGGTCGGTCGCGTTACTCTGGCTTTTTTCGGTAGTTGCTATAGCACCACTAATAATGATAAATATAATAATTATAGTCATAAAGACGGAAGAAAGAACCTACAAAATTAAAATAATTCAATGGAAGCGACAGTCACGAAGACAGACGAAACCACTTCTTGTTCAAGAACACTCATTCAAAACACAAAACGATGATGGAGAAGAACTGAGTGATTTGTGTAGTATCTTACGGGTGAACACGCTATCGTCCTCAAAGCGAGGAGATCGCGCTTCCTATTATGTCAACGGAAAGACAGTCTATTCCTCTTCTTTTAGTCATTCGGGGATTTGTGGTCGCCTATAGGTGATAAGCGCGAACTACATGGCACGAACGAAGGACATGAACAGCATCCAACGTAGTACACAAATTAACAGAATCCGGCCGCACGAGACCCCACATGTCTAGGTACGCTTTGTTAACCGAATGGTATGTCAATGCAGTAAAAGCAATTGACAAAGGTTATATTGCACCTTGAAATGAATATGTTTCAAAATTGAGGCCCTAGGTAAATCAAGATTACGGATATTGCCGCATATACATATTTCCGACATATTTCCGCAGAAGGAAAGGCACACACAGCTTTTACAGATAACGTAATAATGATAACAATAATAATCGAAAAAAGGCGATGATAAGTTGACGCGTATATATATATATATATATGATTTCTGCCTCTCGTGTCGTTATACTTGACAGAACGTGCTCTTCCATGAACGCTGTGTGTGCTTCTCCTTCCGCGACCATACCTCCGCCCGCTTTCAATTTCCGTGATCTTGATTTATCTGGGATTCCAATTTTGAAACATATATTTATTTGGAGATCCAACGCAACCTTCGTTGCCATTGCCTTCTGCTGCATTGGCATGCTACTCGGTTGACAACGCGTACCTAGACATGTGAAATTTTACGCGGCACGGTTCTGTTAACTTGTCCACAACGTTGAACGTGACTTATGTCCTTCATTCGTGTCGCGCAGTTCGTGTTTGTTACCTATAAGCGACCACAAATCCGGGAAAGACTAAAAGAAGAAGAATTAACTGCCATTACGGTGACACAATAGAAAATGCGATTTCCTTCATTTTGAGAACGGTAACGTATTCACCCGTAAGGCAATACACAAAGCATTCAGTTCTCGGCGTTTTGATTTTAAGAAACTGGTAGATCTCTCTAAATCTCGATTGTTGTGAACCACTTTACTTAAAGCAGTAGCAGTTTCGTCTGGCTCTTTTCATTTTGTGACTGCTTTCATTAAATTGTTTCTGCTTGTGGAAGTCTTCTTTCCATTTTTATGAATATAATTATTTTTTTAAAACTGTGTGCTGCTGTTCCAACGTCTCTCAGCCAGCTTCGTCGCTATTGGCTCTGTTTCTCGCGCTCTCTCTCTCTTTGTATATAGCTTGAAATAATTCTTTCGCTTATTTCCTGTGATATTCTATCTGTCCACAGTCATTTTATTTTTCCATTGTCAGTAAAGCTTCGTTTTTTTTTGTGTACTGTCCATCTGCCTATCTTATGTATACGCGATAGATTGTGTTCAATGTATTATCATAATTATCATGAATGAATAAATTAAGCGAACGTGTTCACGTGTCTTTGGGAAACTTTTCGTTATCTGTTCTGTTTGATAGACGTTTACACATTTGTGCATAGTGGAACCGGCTTCGCTGCAGTGAGCGAGCGCATATCGTTAAACTATTTCAGCATTGTAATTATTTTGATTGTTTTTCCGTGACGTAATTTGTGTTTTTGCTACTGTTTCAATAAATTAATGAGATTGCGTTAAGGGTTCTTCCATTATCGTGTGCTATTCCATCGTACTGGTTTTCACGTGTAGTCGTTCTTTTATTTTAGTCGAACATATACTCCGGGCCGCACTAATTCATTGGCCTTTTCAGCTAAAAGAAATCAAAACCCCAGTCGGTTTCCAATAAATAGGAGAAAGATGCCGTTCTTCTCCGTTCTGCCGTTTTTTAGCTGTTGTCGAATAAGCGGACAGCAACAAAGCCTACGTATACAAAGATTTCGACCATTCTATCTCGGGTGAATGCATCATGTGCAAGTAGACGTTTGTATATGTTGATTATATACGTACGCACCTATCCAGTAGGTTTCGCACCGTTACGGCGCCTCAAGACGTGCAGCCTCCCCCACCTTGCAAGACCGCAATATCATCATCATCATCATCATCATCAGTGTTATATATATATATATATAATTACGATGATGAAAATATTACTGATAATGAATACGAGATTGAGACGAATTGATGTTGATGCTAAACGCTAATGACGGAAATGAAGCCGATGGTTATGACGATAGAAGGAGCAGAGTAAAACGACTGGTGGTGTCACTAGATATGGTTGTCCGGGTCGACGGCAAAGTAACGATCGATCAGGAATAACGAGAAAAATATGATAATTACGACACTAGTAAGGTAATAATAACACTATTGATGATGATGATAATATGAACAATAATGATGATGATAAATAATAACAAGGAATATTGTGTAAAACATGATTATTATTATTGTATTGTGTATGACAAACAGATTGAGAGGAAGGAGACGGTAGAATACGCAGATGGTCTAAAATTAGATTAAATCAAATGGAACATAGTAAAGATATATAATGGTTACAATTTCGATGACCATGCTTAATGAAAAATGATAACGATAAAATAATTATAATATTAAAAATAACGGATGAATAAGATATATTATTAGTAAAAGACAACTCGATAAGATACGGGAATTTCGGTCGGATTAAGGGCCATATAAGAAGGGCACGGGGATAAACATTGATTAAGGTAACAAGGGCTGAAGCTGAATGGGGAAGATAAAGATAGCGATGGCAATTCGCATGAAACAGAAAAAATTGAGGGAAGGTCTAAGAGATGCCGCGGCAAATGGTTTTAGATGGTCAAGAATGTTAACTGGACAAAAAGAAAACGCGAAACGAAGGGGCGAAAGATAGTTGGGATGTCCTTGGAAGCAAAAGAGGTGGTTAGTGCGGGTGGGGCATAAGGGTGGCGGGGATAGTTTCCAAGTGGTCTGAAGTGGTGAAGGTGGTAACTGAAATATAATGATATTAAGATATTATTATTAATTATAATAATAAAGGTAATGATAAACGCTTCGATCACAAATGATTCAGATACTGATAACGATAAGATAAAGAAGATGAGATATATAGTAATATTGATAAAAAGCTGATGATAAAGCACGCCATTGACAAAAAAGCCACGTGGTAGAGCGACGAACAGGTAAAGGCGTCACCAAAAGGTGATAATGAACGAATTGAATCGAAGTGAAGCTGATAGGACAGATCGGATTATAAAGACAGATCGGGACCGCATTGGTGAGTAACGTGTAGAAATCGAAGAGAACACCGAGGGAGATCTGTGTATAAATGCTCGTTCGGCGTCGCTCGCTAGCGAGAAAGGACTGCTGCGTGTCTGTGCAACCCGATGCTTGATTCGTGATTGAAAGTAAAGACTAATGATGGTGAAATTACTTGCGTGGAAAACGTCAAGAGGAGTCGGGCGCCTGAGATTGCTCGCGGTTACAACCAAGGTAGCCCTATGATTGACGATAGCGAAGACGACGATGACGATAAGTTAACATTAACAGCGAAGAAGAGTAAACAGTAACGACGATAACAACAGCAGAAGCGGCAGAGCAGCAACAACAACAACAACAACAAAAGAAACCACAAGTACATGTATAAATGTCGATGCCGAAGGCTGATTGAAGGTTAATATAGAAGTGACGACGACGACGACAATGATGACGATAAGGTAATTGATATTGATGATAAAACTTAATTGATGGCTGGTATCGCTGGCAGGCGCTCGCTTTGAAGCGAGGAACGTTGCGAGCCATGGGTATATAAGCAGCACGGCATCCCTTCTGTAAATCCGAGTCCTTCTCCCATTGACACAAATGACGAGATAGCAACAAGTGTTAAACAGACCAATAACGGAAACAGATCCAAGAGACAACAATACCAGCATTGACCGCAAGTTACCACAATGACAGAAACAGAAAACACGCCATAACAACAACAACGACGACAACAATAGATAAGGACAGAGAGAAAGAAAAGCGAGCATGAAAATCTGATGCTGACGACCGATTGGAGACAAAAACGAAGCTAATAATAAAACAACAAAAACATCATCAACAATAGCATCAACAATATATGTCACACTAGAAAGATTATATGAGACAACAGCAACAGTAACGGCATGGCCACGTGCACATTTTGCTTTATGCATCCATCCATACGGATTCTTATTATTGCTTATTATTATTTCGATTTGTTGATACTAGGCCGATGAATGTTACTTGTTGATCAATTATCGTAGTTGATGTCGAAAGTGGTTGACGTGCGCTATCTCCGACAGAAATATGGCGACAGACTGAGTATCAGATCCCAACATGTTTGTATTGATACTTAAGTGGGAATCCTAAAAAACAAACACGTAAGAAAAAAATAGCTTATATGAAATTCATTTAAAACAACGCTAAATTGTATCGCTCATGATTCACCTTGTGTGTAACTCATTTGTCAGCCCAAATTCTTCTGGCCTGTCGATGCTGGAGCCTTTAGCGGGCTGCTTTAAGGAGCGAACAAATAAGTAAATTGAATTTTGGCGCGCATTCGCACATGTTCGATACCCGTGTGTAAAAAGGGGGCAACATAACTTTACACGAAGCTGTTGTTAATAATAAGTCTATTATAAGGACAGCAGCAGCGATCGGATCATGCTGTGACAAGACGAGCTATTATATGGGCATGCTATATGTAAAAGTAGGTAGAATGGGGTATAGACTGAGGATATTGAGACTCTGGTGAGTAAGGAGAACCGACAGAACGTACATGAATAGATAGAAAAAGAAACCTGGCAAAGTAATAAAGTCGTTCGCAAAGCGAGCACTATATATAGGATTCTGATGTCGTGTGGGTAAGGCTGTTGGCATACTTCGTCAGGTATACAGCGACACGCAGCTGCTGATTCAGTCTTGAGCTGGACACTGGTACATACGCGCTGCGCAAATAATATAAAAAAAAACAGGAATACTAAGACCGAGATAGAAAAAAAGAGTTGTGTACAACGGTGGTCAAATGACGAAATTAATTGAAGTTTTTTCTTATACAAACAAACCGATACGGAAAATGTACAGACATAGATGAAAGAGACAATGACAAAATACAAGTATAGAAGAGACACTACACAAGGCTAGTTGCACGCGCACAGATACGACTAATTAGCTGGCTATAGCTCCTAATGAGAAATACAATAGGAGAGCAATATGCATGTTACATTCGATGGCTTTCCTTCACAGAACATGAAACTACAATATCGAACACAGGCAACGAATAATAGATGATGAAAGGTACGTTTGCACGACGAAAATACAGCCTACATACACACGTACACAGATACACACACGTAAACACTTACACACGCACAAACATACACACAGACACACACATACACATGCCCACACGCTCACATACACAGATATACAAATGCGCAGAGATAACAAAGCGCTATGACACGCACACAAAAACACATATGGACTTGATGCCAGTAGTGTATTTCTCAAACTTATGGTGGTAAAAATATAATCTACTATCAATAAACGTATTGTACTCCTAACAAATGGGTGTTGTCGCTTATTGTTTTTTTATCTTTGACAAAAGAATTTACGGCTCGGTGATTTAGGTATTATTTCGCATGCAAGAAGGTAATTCAAAATTCGGTAGTATGTTGTGCTGATTTATGAATGAATGTGAGGGTTTTTGCAGGGATTAAAATTCTATTGCTGTTTTGTAAGAAATTCAACCGCCTTCCTTCATGGGTGGTATATGTAATATAAAAAAGAATGGATATATTTGGGATTCATAAAACGAAAGAAGGTGAGACCTAGGTAAACTATCTCTGGGTTACAATAGCCTGAGTATAAGGTCTATGCTTGTTGAAACTCCATAATGAAATGCGTTCTAAATTCAATTTTAAAAATAACTTTATTCACGCAACGAACTATATGTTAGGTTTGCCAGAAACTAATGTACATTATTTCGCTCAGACTTAAGCAATGAATTTTGTTTTATATAGAAGGACTTGGCAGTGTAACGATCCCTATAGTAATACTTCATGGTTCATAATGAAGTTGTTCGATATACAAAATGTACAGATTGAAAGTCCGCCGGAAGCTTAAGAAAAAACATTATCAGTTAAACGTTGAATTTTACTTCCGATGGTCCGGCTATGCATTACTTCGAACAACTGGCCTCTTCTAACATAAAAGGAAATGTATCTACGCTTGGTGTCGAGCCTACGTTATCTAACGTGTCTCTGAAGAAAATCACCTTAGCGCTACGTTATCATGACCGCTTACTGAATTTGTCAGTTATCAGAAAAAATAGTAGTTTAACAATGCGAGATCTGGATGAAATACGATCAGTGCGAGAGAACATCTTGGATAAACTTAGTGGTTTGAACTATTTTTTTACTAGAATTGTCGTGAAAAAGGATGACTTGCAATTGCAAGGCCAGTTTGCAGCGACACGTGTTACATAATGCATAACCATTTTCTTATTATATCGCTAAAATCAGTCACCCTTGATCTAAGGTCAAAAGCACCTCTAATTTATAGCAACTATTACTATTAGTCTATCAAATTCAGTTCTTCACACTTATTACGGCACGAGTTAGTGTTTGTAAAAAAATTAGACTCGATTATACGACCTATAAAGGACTGCATAAAAGTTTATTTGCTGAATACGCTCTTTTGATATACTTCCACCTTAATGAGCCACCGGCAATAGTTCTTTTCACCACTTTCTGTTATGGTAATATTGTTCTTGTGCCTACGATTCGTAGTATCTAATGTGGTCAGGGTCAGTTGGCTTCAGGATCGTTTTGTCCTTGAGGTTCACAAGCCACCCCGGCCTCAGGCCATCAAAGATTTGACGTGCATCTTTTCGGTACGAAAGCATCTTGAAATTGGGATCTTTGCGGAGGTCTGGTAGCTCATAACCGTATTTTTGTGCTAGCTTCAATCTGTGGAAGCAAATAAATAAAATTTGCAAATAAATAAAGAAAGCAGTAACTTAATTTCTCAATCTAAAACCTTATTTGAAGATCCATGGTTCATCTAGTAAATGTAAGTAAAATCTTAGCAAATATTATAATAAAAGATAAGGAGTACGCCAAAGAGGTTTTTATTCGGCTGTGCTATTTGGTACTCATAAAAGAGCCCTGTAAAGTGACAAGGTGTTATTCACAATACAAAATTAAATAGGAATACAAATTTTTTACTTTAGTCCAACTTTTCTCACCTCTCTTCAGCAATTAGCTTCGGGTCAGCCAGATACCCTCTGTTTGCTGGGTTAGAGTAGTATTCAAAGGCGTCTGACGGCGGGAGTTCGCGACGTAGCATAGGAATGCCTTTTTTAAGGAAACTCTCGGGGTCTATTTTAGCCTCTACAGCAAAAATATCATAGAATGCTGTTGTGATAACGCCACCGTTACGCTCGACTGCTGCAATGACTGGCTCCTTAGCATACTGTACTTCTATATTCAGTTTTGCTTTAAACTTGTCGATACCTGTTTATAGCAAACATAGGATTTGAACAAAACATAAATCATTGGAAACAATAATGCGCGTAAGGAGGGAGGCAAATTCTATAAATTTGCTTCCCTAACAATTAGAATTACAGTTGTTAAAATTACAAAATGTATTCACTTACAAGTGCTCGATGTGCCTCTTCGACAATTTATTGAAATTTAGCGCCTTGAAAGTGACTGACGTTCAACGATACAGAAGGTAAAACCACTCTTTGGCATATACAGAACGACAAAAACATTGAATTACTCCAACAATACCTTCAGCGGTGAGATGAAATCCGAACTGTCTGTCTTTAGGGCTGATCTTAAATAGAAACGTATTGCATATTATAGTTAAATCAATCGGTTGCAAAGGATCTATTCTCCTGGTATCTACCATCATCTGGAGCTGACCCAAAGACAATGGTGGGTAATGTCGTCGTATATCCCAGTTCTGTAAATGGACATTATTATTGCCATGTAGTGAATTATTAGTACCAACGATGTTAGAAATCAAAGTGGCCGCCTCTACAACATTATACCTCGCTTATTTTAGTTTTAGTTTAAAAAAAATTGTTCAGATCTTGCTATTTTGTGATGCTCGCAGCCTTGCAGTAACCAATTATTTTGATGAAATCAACGTACTGAACGAGTCTAATATTATAATATCGAGACGAGGAAAAAAATTCCATCGCAAGAATTTCAATTATTTTGAAAAATATGGTACGTGCCGACTTTTTTTTTGAGAAGAGATTTTAGAAATGTCCTACGACGAATATAGATAGAAGAACAACATAATTTCTGCATCGGTTGTTCTTCAGTTTTAAGAATTAAATTTGAAGAATTTCATTATACAATTTTTGAACCATACATATATGTCTTATAAACCATAAATTGAATAGTGCGACCTGATTTATTAAGATACTCTTTGATGGGGCTTAAACTTTCCGGCAGTCCATAGATTTTTTTCAGCCAAAAAAGCAGCCGTCCACGACATTGCGTTTTACGTTAAACAAATTTCCGTCCTGGCTTTTTTAAAGCTCCCTAAGAAGTAAACTCACGTACCTCATTATACGGCTCCTGAGGAACTTTGACGTGAAATGGGATCTGACCGCCTTCAAAACCCAACTTAGAAAAACTCATTCGTTGCTTTGATCCTTTCTGGGGCCAGAGTTTTTCGCGGCTAGAATAAAAGTGCAAAATATGTCAGCATGCGCGCTACTAATATATATATAATAAACCATCCTCTTAGAGGATTGTGCGAATGACTAGGCTCTATATGAAGTTCGTTTGTGTTGTTTGGGTTGTGGGGCTCATTCTAGACAACACTGGAATATATCGCTGACAGTCACATGAATGATGGCTTGACATTGTTTGAAAATTGGTGAAATTTAGTGAACTGAACACTGGTCGGAAGATTCTATCTTGGTATGGAAACTCAGGAACATGCGGACATTTACAACCGCAAAGCCAACCATAGATACCACGAACCTATCAGATTCATTTTTATCACCGACGTACTTAAGGGACTGCACCCATTAATATTATAAGTTTTATAAGTAAACGTGGAAAATTGTCTCGTAAATTGTATACGAATAATTATCATAGTAATAGAAGAAGAATATTTAATAAACTAATGAGCCTGCGCCGACTATCCTTGCCTGCATCACACCCACAGCTCGTTCGAATATCGTACTGTACAATGTATGTTTCGAATATACAAATTTCCTTCGTTTCTTCCGTGAATCTTTGGCAAGCCAGAATAGAAAATGGCCGTGGTATCTCGATCCGCCAAAACATTATGGTGCACGTACCGAAAACCCATAATACGCTTCTTTTTCACCCAGTTACTATGCGGCACATCGCGTACGTTCATCAAAGACACCCTTGGTAGATAGCGCAGTACCTCAAGCGCTTTACTACGAATGTCGACCATTTCGTTAATTTTTGTCGACACTTGCGTTGATCTTTGAAAATCACTTGTCTATACACGTATTAATTAATAATATAGAAAGTATAAATGGTGAGAGATGTGATAGCATCTGAAACTTCCTATTAGTTAGTCAAGGGGCGAAAAGAGTTATGCCAACGATTGGCGTACGCTTGAGAAGATCGTCTTTTCTCAAAGTGAGCGGGATGAACGCATTCTTGTTTACGATTTAACAAAAGCGCCGTCGAGCATACAGAAATGATCACCCCGTACGTTCTATAGCGTGATACAAAATGCGATTTGTATTTGCTTATGTTGTAACTAACTTTTCAATGCTTTTGCGGTATATTTCATTTACTTGAGAACTGCCAATGACACGCACTGTTTAGCCGGGCAGAGATCATCAAAGCAAGTTGACGAAAAATCTATCATCGGTACAAGCATAATTAATTTCATTAGATTTATCGACAGGTTCTTTCAGTTGTTGTAGTGCAAATGGAAATATGTGATCTAGTAGGGAACTTCAGCCTAAGATGTAATTTTAAGAAGATAAAAAATGTAATTTTAATAAGAATCTTATTGCAAATGTCGAACTTATGGTTGCAGATTAGGTTTATCGGTGAGTTTATTAAAATTTTTTTTTAAATTTAGCTTTTAAAAAGCAGACTTATATTAAGCTTTTCTGATTATTCCAAATGGCTAAACCTGGCGTAAAAATCTATACAAATCCATCGAGATATTAGATGAGTGACAGTGAACAAGGCTATGCCTTTCTAAGACATATGAGAGAAGCGGCGCGATACTTTTTCGCGACCAGTATTGAAGACCGCATTAGCTGGAGCAAATGCATTAATTGCCGTCGCCAATCGAACAACTTGACTAACAATTACCCAAAAATAAGAAAATAACAGAACCATTTTCAACAACAAGTAAGAGAGCTCTTTCACTGTATTTCTGTACCTTTAAAATACACGAAAATGTCCTCTAGGCTGGACTTTACTATCTTGCATGAGTGTAAAAATTTTGGAGTGACTTACCGTAAACCTCGTCTGCGATAGTCTATATGGTTTTTGTGTACTATTTTTTTCTCGAATTACTTTTACATGCTACCGTAATATTACTCTGCCTCATAACCAGCCTGCCTTTTTCAAGTATTCTTTTCCATAACAAGTAACGTCCTAAATAGCCTCACATTTTATCTTAGTTCATTTAATCACAACTAATTATGGATGCTTGACATATAACAACCACGCAAAAAACACAGTGTGCTAATAAGCGTGTTATTTTTTTTAATAAAATAACATTTGTTGGCATTTAAAAGAATAATATAAGTTTTTAGGTTTCCAGTGAAACATTTTTCAATTTTTAAATGTCCAATTAAATTCCACTTCCGATAACAAGCACTTATTATATAATTTTCGATCTACAATGGGCATGCGAACTTTTGCAGATAATTTTGTTCCTATTAAATGGCATGGTTACGAAATTATATTGGAACTATCGAGTACGTTTTCTTGCATCCTCAGCCCAATCCTGGATTTTAATTTGTACGCTCTTGCCTTTTTAAAAAATTATTCAATATGCCCAAGCGCAAAAACGAAGAAAGAGTTTTAAAATAAATAATGTTTTTCATTTCTCTCTTTTTTCTTTATGTATATATATATATATATATCTATATATCTATATATATATATATATATATATATATATATATATATATATATATATATATATCTTTCCTATGTGCACCAACCTACTAACATTTTCACCTCTATTTCTGAAAAAAGTGCCCAATCTTCTACAGAATCCCACCATATTAACACTATCTAATCTTTCATTCGCACCACAGCATTTGTTCTAAATTCACTCACGTAATTAGGAATTTCCATTAACTTAGCATCACCACTGTTATGTGCTAATTCATCATCACTATCACAACAGCGTCGACAAAATACCTACATCGACTATACGCTACACATACACACATACATATATATTGTTGTCTTCTTAATGCTACCGTTGCACGTCACTTCTTCAAACCCATTTGTTCGCTCTGCGGATCCCTGCCATTACGACGTAGGCTCTGCAATATCTGCAATAATCTTCATCCTCAAAATCTGCTGGTTACCATTTTTTCATGAAATGTCATAAGCAACATCGTTGTTGTTGCTTTATTAAGCTGATAGCGTACGAGCGCTGCGTCGTCTCCCTTCATCATCATTTTTTTGTATCTTTAGTTTCACGTTTTTCTCTTTTTAACACCACAATTACTACTGCCCCCTCTCTCGGTGTACACAATGGATTTTTTGGGTCACTGACCACCAACACGACATCAAGGCCTATGTTAGTTCACATACGCAAACTGTACACTTCTTTTTTAGACCATACATATATCTTCCGTTTACCTTACCTATCTCAACCTTTTGCGAATTTTGCCACTCACTTTGTTCACCATCAGTTCCTGATCTATATTGGTAACGCTGTGACCGATTAACTAGCTCCAACAGTTGCTGTCAAACATTCATACCGCTTGAATGTCTCTCATGTTATTCGACACTATTTGGACTGGTATTAGTTACTTATTATTTACAGTAACGCACAGCGACCACAGTCCTGCCTTTGCGATGTCTACCTTATTCTGCCCTGCGGTTTCCGACGCTGAAATCAGAAAAGGTGCGCGTCTCAAGCGACAAACCTGTTATGTGGCCACCCCGATAATTTCCGATGTGCAATGGCTTTGTCTACGCCTCTTCCGGTACCATGCTGCGCTGCTTCGTGAACAAAGTTGTGACGATTTTTTTATGTAGGCAGTACCAATGATGTTCTTATAAATTATTGTTGTTAAGCTATAGTTAAGGACGACGATCAACTCTCGGAGAAATAAAACAGTCACAAAAGCGATGATCACACTGCTTGTCTTCTCATCTATCCAGAAATCGTTTTTGATCAAGATTAGTCTATAATCGTTATTATTATTATTATGAACTAGATTTACAAGCGGACGTCGTTTATTGCTTCTCGTTACCTGGTTAACGGCTTTTCACGGGTGTAAAGGCAAAAGCGAATTAAATTGTCTTCAATAGCTTTTGCACTCTTTGCTCGGCAAACGCCACCTCTACTTATTGGCAGCCTATAGGAACACGACTAGCTCTACAGTGGCTCGCGTTACGTAGGTACACACACAAATACACACACACACACACGCACACTCACTCACACACACACACACACTCACATAGACTTTTGGTAATATAGTAAATATTATTAGCTAAATCCAAAACTGTAAATTGTATATACGGAGTTTCCGTCCATTAGCTTCATTCCATTTTATCACCATTTTTGTAATCTGTATGCACTGTCATGCCTCTCGGTTGTTTCGTCGCAAAAGCTGTCTGGAGTTCTTGTGTTTACGCACCGCTTGCACTAAACCATGAATCACTATTAGCCAGGTCCGCAGGATATTCGTTCTATGACATCTCGTTTGTGCTGCCAATTTCGGTGGCAGTTACCTGCTCTCATGTAGATTTCGAGGAGAGAAAATTCGCTCCTATGATATTTTTCTGAAGGTCAGGGCTATTGAAATACAATCGATGTCCTGCAGAAATGTGTTATTGTTGCTGTTAGAGTTGTAATCGCTAAACTCTAACGGAGAAGCGTTCGAACCGGAGCGAAACGCAACTGCTGCCATCCTGTTCGTCTCCAATTATTGCTTTACATCGTTCCAAAGTTCATAATCGGCATATCGGTGTGCACACGCGCGCCACGCATTTTCCTCAACGCGTTCATGAAGTTCTCCAGTGTGATCGGAGGCAAGGCGTCATGATACATCTCATCATCGCTACCGCTGCGAGTACGTAAACGGAAAGAAAAAAATTATTTTTTTGAATAAAACAGGATTGTTAGGTTGGAATGAAACAAACATTGAAGTTACGTAGCTAGCCCGCAATACTTTCCATAAAACAGGTTATCATAGATATCATAAAACGTAAACGTATCGTAAACGAAATAAAAAAGGCATTTAAATCTTGCTGTTGAAATTTATGCTTCGATTTGCGTTAGTGTAACGAAAAATAGAAAAATTGCCTCTCCGAACTTACCATATGCCTTCAAACTAAATTGCATGATTATTGCCACTGTGCTTGCTTCTTGTGAAATCTAATTCAGTATCCTGCGTTTAAATGCGCCCTTCCACCATTTTCTTATTTTAGCTGCTTGCGTAGCTGAATAGTATCCAACTCACCCATTGACCTTGTCATTTGTAACTGGAGTCGAACCGTTCATCAGGTACCGGACTCGATTCAAGGCAGCACCTCTGCACAATTCTTTAAGATCAGAGCCGGAGAAGCCTTCTGTTAGCTTTGCAAGAGACTTTACGTCCACTTCTTCAGACAGCTGAAATGCAACAAAAATGATGGACGAAATAAGGCTTTTAAAATGGCAGGTAAGCTGATTTAGATGATCAGGCTCAATACAAGCGAATGCACCTGAAATCTTGTGATTAAACAGTTATACAAGACAAAGACAAGATAAGCAATCTTCTGATTATTCTGATATATCGGGAACCCAACAAGATTATTTCTGAATATGGATATCGATTATCGCGTCACAAATAAGCTCACCGGTTCACCATTAAGGATCAGCTCGAGTATATTAGTGCGTTGCTTGACATTCGGTTGACCCACATGAAACATGGCCGGCATTCGGCGAAGGATAGCTCGGTCTACATCTTGAGGACGATTTGTTGCTCCCATAACCAGGACGAAGCATCTGCAAGGGAACCAAAAAAAGAGGTAGCAAAAAAATGAAGCAATTGGCGTTGGTATTGAAGACATATGTATTTCATAATGCAACGCGCCTTTGAAAAAATATATCTGACCTACAGATTATAACCCGGCCTGAGAATTATTCCTAGGTGCTTTGCGATATCCTATGTGAGCCCTTTCAAACAGTGACTATCGCTGAGCTAGTAATTCATAAGCTTTGCGTTTGCAGCCTAAGGCAGAGATCACAATACCTCAAAGCAAATTGCAAGAAGACTTCTACAGTATAATAAAACCAAACAAAGCATTTGAAACAGTGGTCATCGTATAAAATCAAAACATCATATCTGATATACGCACTTGCTGTCCGTAATTAGGCCATCCCAAAGAGTCATAAACTGCGCCTTCATCATCGCCGTGGCCTCATGATCGTGAGATTCTCTTGACCGTAAGAACGAATCGATTTCGTCAATAAATATAATACAAGGTTGAATTTTGACCGCAAGTGTGAAGACGGCTGCTGCGAGTTTCTGGGATTCGCCATACCTGCAACCAACGGAAGAGAATGACGAACGGCTAAGATAATATGAATAAGGAAGCAGCGAACAATGCAATAGCGGAGGTGGCTTGCTGGCGATTCGGTTGGGTACATATATTCTTCATGACAGGTTCTTTGCGTGGTTCTTTAACATAGCGTATTTTATTGTACTTCATCCATTTTCAATTCAACAATTATAGACACAATTTACAAAATGATAAAGACTCAATATGCCTCGAAAGTGTTCTTCGATCGATTAGGTGGCTGATTAAGGTCAAATGAATACCTCAGCAACCTAGTTCGTCTGAGTTTATGTAACTGCGTACCATTTGTCGGTAAGATTGGCCACCTCAAGGTTGATGAACCTCGCCCCAGCCTCTTTAGCGGTCGCCTTAGCGATCATCGTCTTGCCGCATCCTGGTGGGCCGTGAAGGAGCACTCCTGAAATTAGTAACCAAAAAGTTCAGATAGTATACTGAAATTTATTAGAATTGCTCATGTGGGTTATTTCCTTTTTAACCCGCAATTAATTATTACAGCAGCGTATTATGAAAAGTGTAATGATCAGAACGATACTAATTTCGAGCACTTAGGGTAAGAGCAAAAATTATACATTTTATGCAACTTGTTTTACAATTTGAATATCAGTTATAGTCATTCAAGCTGTGTATACCTTTTTCTGTAAACTAGTTAAAGTGTCGCTGAAATATGTTGTATGCAAAACCTTCTAGCGGAAATGAATATTGGGTTGATAGCAGGCCAAAAATTTCAAGGATACAAGGACTAAAACGATCAAAATGTTTAATGGGTGCTAGAAGCCACAAAAAGTGCCAAAAATTTGACCGTTAGAACCTTTCGAGACGGTCTAATATCTACTTCATGAGAACGGTTGCTAATTTCTATATGAAAATACAGGTATTTATGAATGGATTTTAAAGCATATTTGATTGACTTTCGAGCCTCTTAAATCTACATGCTTTTAGATCTATTTCATAAAAAAAAACAAAGGATATAGAACTCATATATATATACAACTTAAAGAAGTAAATATATTTTTATAGGCATTTGCACGACTGATTGATCACTGGCATATAATGGTACTCAAAGTTTATTTCTTACGAAAGCATTACCCACGGACTTTACCGTGCATGTTATGCCATTGATCGCATTTTTTTGTTTTTCCAAGAATTAAAAAGTTAATTAAGTTTTATTATAAAGGTACCGCCGATACCGATGATAACTATAACCTAGTAGTTGAATCATGAAACATACATTGAACACACTTGTTCACGTAGCAGTCCAGAATGTGCTCTCCGTTAAAAAAAAGTCCGTTAAATCGGCCAAGCTTGCAAACCTAGGCTTTACATAGTATCTACATGTATACTCCGATTATTATTATTAGTGTTTAATCGAGTGCGTAATGTGACATATCAGATATATTCACCACGTGCCAGTAGCATAAGAGACTTGTGCGACCCCTACTATCGAACAAAGCAACCCCGTCATGCAATACCGAATGCGATCTACATGGGATATTCGTTTGGGACAAAGATACAAAGGGGCTTGTACTGAAAAAATAGCGTAGGTATAAGCACGCTACAAAGCCTTAGAACTAAGCTATTTGCGAAACTTAAAAATAGCGTTTACCTAGGTTCAGTTCTACCCTTTTTTTTAATAAAATTGCTGAGTTAAATCCATGTCAGATTTTCAACTAAGCGGCTAATACCAGTTTTTCGTAATTTCTAAACGGCTACTGCGTTTCTTAATCTCGTCGATTAAATTCATATTTTGCTCTGTTTTTCTAGCATACCTTTTTACAGTCACAAAAGAACGGTATTACTGGCAATATGGTGACACCCGAATGTACACTCAACGATTCATTCTATTCAAATATCAACTTTCTACCTTTCGGAGGTTCGATTAAGTTACTCCCAGCAAACAGCTCTTTCTTCTGGATTGGTAAAATAACAGTTTCACGTATTTCCTGAACGATGTCATCGAGTCCAGCAATTGAGTCCCAATTAATTGCTATGTTACGCGGGTCGACGAGCTGTGCAGCAATCGACAACTCGTATTCCGTCAACGATACGTTCTTGACTCCAATTCTAGACAATATTCGCTCGGCCTGTAGATGCAAACAGTACACAGCAGAATGACACGAAATAATTAATAAACGTATGCTATCTATATTCTTATTGTAAAGGGAATTTTAGTTCACATTATTTTTCATCGGGCGGTCAGTTACGTGCTTAATCTACTGTTTACAGTTAGTTTTCAAGTGCAACACTTATTTTGAGTCTAAGTACTTTTCTTATAGCTAGCATTATAGGCATTTTATCAAATAGATATAAAAGAAAGACAATATTTGTTACAAGTAGTTATAGCATTTGCCGAAGTTAGTTCCAACTTAAATGCTACTGATGACGCCACAACATTTTTATGCCGTAGTGACTCTCAAATTTTTTTTTATTAAAACCACTTTTTTTGTGCACTTGGTTACTGTGTGTAACCAAATGAAGCCGGGATCTCAAATATATAACTATATATTAATTTTTAATAAGGCTAGCGACAACTTTTACACAGTAAAATTTACCTAGCTTATATTAGCTTACATACGAATTAAGCAAGATGTCAGTGGACATAACAAAATAGACCTTGGCAGATGTAAAACAAAACTTGTTGTCTTAGTTCTGCTGAAGAGATCAGCTATCTATAAATAAAGAATTGGCCAGATCCAGTATTACGGTAGCTAAGATCCTCGTATATGCGTGGAGCAAACCGTAACGTCTCTTGAAAAGCCGCAACTAGAGAAGCAAAGTCTTACAAAACAATATACTGGTGCATATAATTACCTTCACTAGTGTGCTTACTACCCACTTACTAATCACCTTACTCTAGAAGTATCTAACCGTTGCATAACAACAACAATAACTATCTTAAGGAATTCATTTGAAGAATATCGTAATGTCAAAAAACTGACATTTTCTCCTGAGTTCGTTTTTATCAGTGCCGTGCCAGACGAGTCTTTTATTTAAATTAGCAAATTTCTTTAGCAACTTTTTCAATGTTTGTCCAGTCAAGCTTACTGACTGTTTTACCTATTTTTTTTTTAACTTTTTTATTTTTATTTTAATTTACCTAAAAGACAGCCCTATACAATGAGGAATATAAGTTCGTCGATCACCTTTTAACTACCCTATTACATACGTAATTTTATTGCAAAACATATTAGTACCCTCCATTTCCCCGGAACAAACAATGCACTATAACGGCCCTTCTATTCTTTGTTTTTGCTTCGCATCCGTATCGTTTTTACGGCTATCAGCATCACAGTCACGTTTGATTTAAACAGACCGACCTGCCAACCAGATGGACAGCCACTCAACATCGAATACTATATATCTATCTAGTCCTGGCTAGAGAAGATGCTAGAAATCACCGCATTCCGTAACAATTTTCACGTACAATCATGACACAGCACAGTAACTATCTTAGCAGACGACAATCATATATTACCAAAACCCTACACAAAAACACCTCTCTAGCCAGAGGCAATCAGTGAAGACATCACGGTAGTCTTACACCGTATCCGCTCAACGGCTGAGAGTTTGTCATTACAATCAAATACACCCCTTACCACGGCACTTGACATATATTAGATACGTTAAGGGGCTAACCGCGATGATTCTGAACACCTTCCTTCCAAATGTTGGTCATTTGAATGCGTTGTCCACCAACTGCTGCTGCACTATATTTAGACTACTCGGCAATTTGCCAGAAGGTGCGTCTCACCAGAATAGCCCGTACGCAGAGAATGAGTGTATCCAAACGCTTTTCGAGATACCGCACGCATACGATGTGGCAAAAGCTATTTCAATTATTAGCAACAGCAACAGAGAAGGAAGGCGAAAAACTAATGACTCAAAAGATCCGGCTTGATAAAATCGAATATTGTTAACTAGAAAAGCTGTTGTCATCATTTGCTCAAAGAGATTTGTTATAAAATCAAGCGACATTAACTTTTTTTACATCTATATATTACGTCGAAAAGGATTTTTCAATTTCTCGCATTATTGCCTATCTATTTTAAAATTTCCCGCCATGACTCCATGAGCCGGGTTTCTTGGTATTATGATGTCATAAATGATAAAACTACAAAAATACAGATTTGCGATCGAAAAAACCATATATTTACACACGCAGCAAAATAGTCATGAACTAACATGAATAGAAACAGAAGTACGCATCATATATTAAGTTTCAACAACCTACCAATACCACTGGCTTCCCCAAAACACTAAGTTCTATTGCCAATTATCGATCATTAAAACACCGTCCTTTCCTCAAGACCTTATTACCACCATCACTTCGGTTTGCTTGCAACTGATTAACCATGATTAACTACGACCTATCATGAATAAAAAAAAATGGAGCTCACATCGAAGTCATCCTAATGATCTTGAGAAACTTTTATTAGTAAAGTGATAATTGAGACATAATTGCTTTACCGTCCTCGCAACGTACTCCAGAAAATGAGATTTTAAGAAAAAACAGACGATTTAAATCCATTTTTGGAGAATCACTTCAAAAATAAAAAACGAATTCAAGCCTTCCGATTCCAGCACTCACACTCATATACAAATAATATCGAAAATACACTGTCGTGAGTGGGTTACTAGAAACAACGCATAGATAATTCGACGACGCGACAAATTCGTGAGTGTCCGTGAAGAGAGACAGCCAAAAAGCCCGAATAAATAATGCTGCAATAATGTTAATGCTGCAATCGTCTTCGAACCAGCATCCAATTCAGTAGGTTCACGGAGATGTAAACATTCGAACCGAACTAAAAATTACGAGACGAAACAGCTGAGGTGATTTCGATAAAGTTCTCTTGCTACTGATACGACAGGCCACACGAGAACTTTATCAGTTCAACTTACTTCAGTCGAAAATTAACCTTCGAATAGGGCGGATCAACATGCATTTGAAAGTGCGACCTAATCTTCAAGTTGAGTCTCCTTGACAAGCCAGCGGGCCCAAAATCTAGAATTATATACACCAAAAGTTTTTCTCCTGCCGTTCCTGCTGTCGAGAAATAAAAACAAAACGTAATGAACATTGGTCCTCAAAGAAAAACAAGGATAAATGTTAGGATCTGATCGTAGCCGTAGCCAGTAGGAGTAATTTATTCTCTTTGATCCTATTAGTAGTCCTCTTGTCGAACAGCACGCTGAAGCTAATTGTGAATTAGCGACTTATCTTTTTTCTTCCTCAATTTTGAAATTTCGATGTTAATCATTGTTTTCTTTTAATGTCTTTGGAACCATTCAGTACAGCACCACACTAACAACGCGCGCGTTCATATGGCGACTGGCTCTCATGCTAATAGTTAGCGTCACTACTAAAATGAATCTATCGTCCTACTTCCACTAACAGGGCATCAAACAACGATTAGAGACACATACACTACAACATATAGGCAGACAACCACGCAGACACCCTCCTTCCACCTGCGTTCGTCATTCACATTGCTGTAAGCGCGTGCGTCGACTCTCTTTCGATTAAGTCAACTGAATAAAAACTGAACTTCAATAATACCATTCCTATAAAGGTTATCGTTTTCATATCGTAACTACGAGCATTGGTTCAGAGCAGATAATATTTGCCAGAATAGCTAATGAAGTAAAAACAAATGTCATCATCACTGAGCCGTAATGTTTTGGCTAGCAATATTATTACTAAATATCTGTAAAAGAGATCGTCACAGAAACCCGAACAAATAATAATTATTATTATAATTACATACCCGCTTCTGTGCTTCAATTTTCTGTTTTCTTGTTGGATCAATCGCGTCAAACATCCATTTCATACCAAAGTACGTCAATGCACCAAAGAGGGTTAGCCGTAAAACAAGACCCGTCACCTCGACGCTCGAAAGAGCACGATGAGCACCCATCATTGCGCGGCGCTGGTCTGAATCTCACCGAGAACTCAGTGGGAGGACGTCGATGAGAAGGGAATGATTGAATTTAACAACGTTAGTATACTGGGTCTTCTCTTGTTATCGATACTTTTTATTGTTCGGAAATTCGACCTCACGCTGCCTCCCTGTTAGGAGAGGGTGCACTTATAAATTAATTCTTCACTGCAGAGCCTAACACTGGCAATAAGCGGTCAGGTAGAACACTTCACTGTTGCGCCCACACCAGTAAGTTTTTCTTGCGAATTCAATCGCCGCTGTTTTCTAGTTCGTCAAGAATTCTTGCGAGGCAACTAGAATAATGATCATTCTCACGTTTATCTAATTGCTTCAGGAAAGGTGCTAGATATACTCTGTATAGGGACTTGGCTGTACGAGGGTGCGGAACCACCACTCACAGCCCCCGACCGTAGAAGACGTTCCAACTCTCTTAAATACCTTCTATACAATACTAGCGATGCGATGTACTCTTATTACGTAGACAACGGCAGCACCATTGAGCATGTAGTTTTGGCCAGGAGGACGAGCGAATTTCGTGGGGCTAAATTCAGAAAAAATAGTCAATGTGGTTTCCTCGCACGTTTTGTTCAATTGCTACAATTACTCCAAGTATATCAGCAGTTCTTTTCCTACAGAAACACTTACAGACACACAGTCAAATAATGTTACGGTGTTCGATAGTTCAACGCAATACAGAGTTCGATAAGTCTCCTCTGTGGCGCGGATCTCTATGTTAGAAATGCACCACGAGTTTCGATGATGTGATGATCTTTGTTTGAACAAAGGACGGAGTTTTGGACGGGCGGTTTCAGAATCCATCTAGTGAATTCAGTAGTCTGCAATACAACATTACTTCGGTATAATTAGAATTGGGAATTCTGTTGCATCAATACGTAGAAGAACAAGTCTAATTACCAAAGATTATAATTTAGGTAATTGAACACGGAAAGAGCGAACAACCTTAAAGGACAATTGAGGATTTCGTATACTATTTATTTCATTCCTGTGTTAGTTTCTGGTCCTGTATAGAGGAATGATCATTGCAGACACTAAACTTATTACTAGATATGAATATGGAGAGAGAGAGAGACAAGAATATGGAGTTTAGCAGGGTATTACAAATCTAACGTGCTTTTTATGCATATGGGTTGTTACTACATCTGATATCCGAACAATACTTGACGAATATTGACAAAATACAAAAGAAGAAGGGCCACAAAGCTTTCGTTTCTACATTTTATTGCAACGGTCCGACTTAACTTCGCATTTGTAGTGGCAGAACATTTTATTCTGAATTAGGAAAAACTGTACGGTGTTTTACCATGCTACAGGATTACGGAAGCTGTATTTTTTCTCTGAGTTGAGAATTTAATGTTTATAATAGTTTTAATTTTTCGCTCTTTGATTTTTCCAAAAATCTCGAAATTGTCGAAAATAACAGAAAATTTTCAGCAGCAGCGAATCCGTATGACCATTTCACTAGTTTTTTTTTCACAATTTTTTTAAAACAACGTCCAAAAACATGAACTTTTATACACATGTCCTCTAGTGCTCTTATTGCTATCGTTACAACTTTCTACATTTTCTTTCATACTATACAATGGACCTGAATAACCCTCCCGGGTTACCCGTTCTTATGTAATTTATCGTTTCTCAGTTCACTCGTTCACTATCGTTTACTCAACTATGCACCCATTCATCTAGCTTCCTCTGGGAAGAACCAATACCCAGTTGAAATTTTCCCGCCCCATGCATCCATCTTCCCGCTACGTGTAGTCCATCAACACACGCACAGGGACCCACGTCATCGTCATTTTCGTTGTCGTCGTATTGCTCTTGGTGCTGTCGCTGCCGCAAGCGTTCTGCTTTCGTGTGTTTTGTTGGCCGGTGTCTGCCCGCCTGCTGCTGGCTAACTCCGCACAGAGTTACCCCTCGCCGAGCGTGTGTTACCGCTGTTTAGCTAAGCTCAGCTAAAACGTAACCCGCCTCATTAAGTCGTTGAAGCGAATAGCAGAGGACTGACCCTGTACTTTACCGTTCACTCGTCCATCCATCCGATTGTCTGCGGCGGTCTAGATAGTGATGTCCTGATAGCTACCTATTGCTATTGTTACTCGTGCTAATGCCGGGCGGCAATTCGAGTTAGGAATTCCCGAGTTAGTAGTGTTACCGTACCAGTTCGATAGGTGTTGTGGTGGAACAAGTTCGCGTTGACCGTCTACTAGCGTCACGGAATTGCCGCTGTGTTCGTTGTACCTTTGCTGACGCTACTGTTGCTGGTATTGCTGTCGCCGTTGACGCTGCCGCAACTTGAAAAGCACAGATAGACTTAAACATCGATACCTAGACAGAGACTCAACAAGGATTGTCAAAACGCTCAGCGTCTGCCGGCGTTCATCCATCGATTCGTCCAGGAAACCATCGCAAAGAAACCAACGATGTCTGAGGGTAAGCATGTGTTTGTAGTCGATCCGAGACCAACGTCGAAGCTTTGCTCGTTTGGCTGGTTGAAGCAACGACAGTGCTGAAATTTTTAATTTGCCAGAAGCGGAAGGCCAACCAGTATAGCTGAGGTACGCTGCTGTTTAAGAACGGCGGCAAGTAGGTCCTACATCCGCTGGCGCCTCTAAACCAGATTTCTGCCGGATAACAATAATAAACGTTCTTCTAATACATGCTTATCATATGGAAAACATACTGACGAAAAAAAATCAGTCTCCATAATACGGTACAGTGATTTCTAGCTACGGCGTATATTATGCATTAGTTGGTATTGTGCGAAATCGGACAGGGTATATACGTGATGACTGCACATCGGAGTCGCTGCGGTGTGTTCTCATTATAGAACGCGACAGGTTCTAGGCACTTAGTACAGCCTGTGGCCTGTTTCGTCTTTTACAGCCAAATGTGTTGATACGCTCGTCAACTACTGCGGTTGCGGTGGCTGTTATTGCCTATCTGTTTGGCTGCACCAGCAGCAGCAGATTAGGCGCCGAAATGTGTGTAGTAAGGCCCTCTTGCTTCGCGCCTTACACCGCTAAGCAGTAATCATGGAGGTGTAGATGAACTGTAAGCAGTTTTGCCCGCCGATTAGAACTGGTGGTACTACACAAGAACACGCGAGTTGTAACGCATACAAACAGAAGCTTCTTGTGCAACGGGGCGATTACTAGTCGATACTGTGTGAGTTAGATTTTCATTACGTGTCTCTGCTATTGTCATTGGGTGGCTGGTATGAAATTGGATGTTCGAATGCCATTGAAGTCAAAACAAACAAAAAACATTTGCAACCATCTACAAAGGGAAAATGATTTTAGCACAAGATTATTTGTCATTCGAGTAAAAAATATCGGCCGCCGCAAGAAAAGCCCGAACTTGGCCGATATGTCTTGTTACGGCAGGCTTATCGGCCATTATTTGACATATATATTATATAATCGGGAAACTCCTTCATTTCGTTGTTGAGTTTACTTCCATCCCTTTCTTTCTGCTGCCGTTGGTTGATTATTGGCTGCTTTTGAAGAATAATGGCGCATTAACCAGGATGAATAGTTGTAATCCGCTGTCATAGCAGGGAATACACGCAATCAGTGTAATCTCATGGTTTGTTTGCAAGGTGAGTGAGTAGTCGTTATACAGAGGTTTTGACGAATTATTACGGAGTAGGCTAAACTGAAAATGTATACAAGAGCGCTTAATGGGCAAACGTCATAAAACATATGGCGGATTCAAAACCCACAGCGACCATGTGGAAAACAACGGCATAAAAGCTGTACGGCCAAGCTGAACGAAGAATGTCTTAATTTGGAGGTTAAGTAGAGAAGCTGAGTAAATTTAGTATATATTTTGAACCGGCTAATGAACATTTATTAATGAAAATAAAAAAATGTAGATTTTCATTGCATTTTAGCTTATATAGAAATTATAGACATAAAAGCTGCATGTTCATTTCATTCTACACTGTGAGTAAACTTTCGTATAGGTGTATGAGTCATGGAAAAACACCATAGCTGAAGTGATATGCCTGAAGTGTTAATTTATGGGGAAGATACATAAAAGCTTCTTATCAATTTTAGTGGACAAGCTGATGCGCTTCGCAGCTGTAGAAACAGGGTAGCAATATGTTATCAGCATATTATATCAATAGTAATCTGAACGGAAACAATCATTATCGATCGGTTAATATATTGAAAACTTGCAATTTGGTCTTTGACTTGCTCTGAAGGTGGCAAAGGATACAATGCAGTTGTACGAATATATGTGGTATAAATAAAATAGCAAAGAACACGTATGCAAAAACGAAATGTAACTATAGCTGTCGTTTGCCGAATAATATATGGTTATAGGTACATAAATTTCCACTAATATCAGATTTTTATTCTCTAATATAATTGTAAAGAATGTGTGATATAACGTCTTCATTTAACCTGCAGCCAGGGTAATCTATAAGTAGGAGATCAGAAACAATAGAGTTCGATTCTTGGAGCCGTTTTTCTGTTGTCTTTGTCGCCCTTGTGATTTGACCATTTGGACAAAGAAGTCTAAATAGCCATAGCGGTAAAAACGATCGAGTTTTTTTTTTACTTTTTATTATTGACAGTAGACAATAACCAATAAGTGAGAACGAATATAATCTTTGTACAAATTCTACGGGTCGTTATTTTTTTGCAAATGATCGTACCGTGTCCTATATATCGCTAAAGGAATCATTAGTAATAACATTTGTTTCTCGGATATGTTCGCCGTGTTTAGCAGTGTGCAAATTAATAGAGATTGCTTTGCTTCGGGAGTATGTCGGTTTTTTGTTGCGTTTCTTTCACTTGTACATATTACAAAAAAGACTGCTAGGCTGTTAACAAAAGTGCGAGTTTAAGGTCACTATGATCTGTCGTGCCAAGACATTCCTCTCCGGTGCGATTCGGTTGATAAAGCGATTAACCCACCGGTTCGGACCGTATGTTTAAACGTTTACTCTTACCGTCCCGGGCAACAAAGCCATCATGCTCACGGTATTTTGATTACATTATGAGTTAGTTAAAATGTAAAGATTAACAAAGATAAACTACGTGGTTATTCTTTGAAAGTTTGTAGTGGTAATAAAATTTTGCTAACATACACATATGTTAATCAATAGTGGTTATTTATTAATGCTTCGGTATTTACGGGCTTTGACTAATTTAAATACACTTTTCCGTACTCGAACTTTACGTAATTTAACGCTTTAATCAAGAATCGCATTGCTTCTTATTTAATCTACAGCGAGCAGTAGACTTTATAATTGCTTACATTTAATCGCATTAGGGAAAACTTGACGAAAATTAACGACAACGCACAAAACAATGATAGTTCTAAGGTGGTTAAGCTTGTATTATTCACAGGGCTTTCATCTAGACGTCACTTGATTCGGATTATATTTGTATATAAACTAATAAATATGGTGAGGTACGGATATATAAAATTGTTTGTTTTGAGGGAGCTTATTGTAGAGAGCGAACCAGTCGCCTAATAAACATGTAAGCGGTCCTGCCAATTGGCGATCAAAGTGTCTCTGCCACACTGATGAACACTGATAGGTATAAGTAAAATCAACGACTTTACTGTTTTGGCAGTAAACGAAAACAACTATCAGAATCGTGTTAAAGCTTGATATTTTCATCACGGGTCACCGTATTTTTAATGCAAGCCATAATGCATATTCTGTGGTAATCTTAGATTCTGAGAGATTTTTGCAGGAAAATACTTATAGAGCAAATTCTTCTCTTATGTATATTGTATACCGTACGACGTAATGCTGCAAGCTGAGCCAATGACATTTCGATTATCGCGAACACAAACGCCGCTTCTATGATGGCCACTGACTTGTCCCTTTGAGTGTCAGGTTCGACGATTTGGTTAATCTTGCTTGACTAAACGGACAAACTCTGTCTATGCTAAACTCATCAGAGTAAATTAGTCTCTGTAAACGTGAATAAGTAGGTAGCTCTTGAGCCTGCTCGACCCAATAACGCTACAAAACCGAAATTCTGTTAATACTATTATTTCTCTATGGCCTGTTATTATCGATCCATCTTTCGCACGGGCTCGTTCGTATTTTAATATTATAACGGAGTGGCCGCTTGATATGCGTTTTTCCGCTGATTTTCGGGATTTAACAAGTAAGCGTGATGCCTTTGCAAATGGCCTATTTGTTTTGTTGATTACCTAAACTGAATTGAAAAGAAGAAATACGGATGTGTTAAGAAGTAAAATACAGAATATGACTCTTCTAATAGATAAATGGTTCACTGCATGTTGTTAGAACGCAGACCATCCCTAGGATGAACCAACAACAGCCGTAAATTATAGCCCCCTAAGGCCACGTCTGGTTTGCAGTAGCAAATTGGAGTTTGAGTGTCTTTGCATACAGATGACGGGTATGTTTACATGGCAAACATTTTCTAGTATTATTCAATCTTTGTGGCATTTTAATGCTTGTTAGACAAGACGAAAAGTTCCCGTGACGATCCAGTGGTAACTTGCTTGCCTACTGGACTTACGATGCATGGGGTTACAAACTGGTCATCTAAGTAGCACTAGCATCCTGTCCTCTTGCAAAGATTGATGAGTGGGGAGGAAAAAGAAATCTGGGTTTCGTAAGTGTGCGAGTCTTGTACAAGGTATCGTCAGCCACCGATGACTCATGTGCGCCACGCATTTTGGAGAAAAATATGAAGCCGGACATAGACATACGTTTTTTTTGTGCTGAAAGATGCCAGTCTTTTGAAGCAGGACTGTAGATATAGAGCCAAGTGTAAAAATCGAACGGAGGATAAGAGAAAAAGACGAAACGAGCCAATTGTCAAGCACTTCCGCAAATAACCCAGAAAGCGAAGGCCGAAGGCCGCTATCTTGTCGTGTAATTGACTCACACTCACAATGTGTGTGTAAATAGAGCTGGAACAAGGCAGTATCAATTTTAATTAGGAATCAAAATAGAAGACGGAACATCGGAACATCGAATCCTCCTTAGTGAACAGATTTTTATGAGTATGAACTCAAGCTTAACATTATTTTTTACACAGAAAACGCAATGACCGCTGCTATATTATCGTATTTTATGTAGTGGATACCTATATAGAAAAGCCTAAAAAAAGTTTTCCCGAATTTTTCAAAAAGTTTTCCTGAATTTCTAAAAAAAGTTTTTTTGAATTTCTTGTAAAATGTATAGTTTTATTCGATAGAGAACAAGAACATAATTGTTTGTTCCTAAAATGTAAACCTGCGTTTGTTTTTCACGAAAAGAATGAATCTGCCAAATAATAACACCATCCTAGCTTATTTTTAAATGCAGGGAAACCTCTCAAGTTAAATCAAGTTAATGCATGAACATAGTATTCGCAATATCAGTAACAACAGTAATTGTTATACCGACGGTTAACTACCATTGCCGATTCCGATGCTTGGGGGCGATCATAGCTCGAAGCAGCCTTCGTTAACTGTAGTTGGTGCTCAACTTTGTTCAATACCATGCAAACAGCCTTTTAGCGATTCGTCATATTGATTCCTGGCATTTCCTTCTTATCAAGCTGTAATAGTGAATTATCGTACCGTAATCATGTCGTACTTTCATCGCACAGGATAACGGATTAGAAAGCTTCGTCCATGTACTGTTTCTACTACTGAGCAATCGAACATCTGACAGGGCTTCGATTGACTTCACCGATTATTGGTGGGTGATATGTATCAACTGACTATGATGTAAGATTAGAAATAGGAAATAGAATTCTTGGCCAAGTTTTTGCAAACTGAGCAGCGGCGTATTATCGGCGTCACAGAAAATGAATTTCATTTTTTTAAGTCCAATTATATTACATGCTTATGGTTATATCGGCGTTTGGTTTTCATTCTCTTCCATAGTATTACGTCAAATAATTCCACTTAGTAATACAAAAAAACTTGTGTTCTGCACGGGAACATCGCATGAATATCAGCTTGTGTTTCGGATCACGGCTTACCCCGGAGCAGCTTTTTTTGCCCAAAGACGCAATTTTTGACCCGATCGTTATTGTCAAGATCTTTTCGAATTACGTTTGGAAACATGACTGAATTAAGGCTGGATGCAAGCATCGGCTTGAACTGATCCATATCACTACTTTTAATACTGTACAACTTTGTTGCGCAATTGTTATATAATACAAATAAATTTACTCATATGGTATAGCAATTTTTATTGACAATTGTAATAATAACGTCTACTGACATCGTCTGTTTGGTAAATTGTCCATGTACAAAACGATACAGAATATGCGCCTATAATGATCACTAAATAATGCTGCGGATGTTCAATATTCTATAAAACTAATCCTTTAAAGACAAAAATGGCAACTTATGTAAAAATAAATCAAAATAAGTAAGCTTGGAGCTATTTACAGACACATGGTTTTTACTGATTCTTTAACATTTCTATTTTATCAATTTGGTTTATAGAGATGCAAGTTGATCAGGCGGTGACTGAGCCGAAGACTGACACTGAACAGACGACACCGACGGCAAGTTCAGGAGCAGCAGGTACTCCGGCGAAAGAAATGGGAGGAGAGAAAAAGGAATCCGGAGTTGCTGAGACAACGACGTCAGCAACATCCGACAACAACATAACCTCCGGGACCGCTGCTGCTAACGTAGGTGCCGCCACAGCTCCCACTACCGGTGAAGCTGTGACCACACCCGAGACAACGGCTACCCCCGGGGCTACAACGACTACGACAACTACAACAACAACTAGCGATTTGGCAACGTCAGCAGCGACTGCTCCGGTACGTAGTAATGCGAAGAACATATTGAAAATAGAAATCACCTAATCAGGGACAAAAAAAAATTATTGAGTCTTATGTATGGTAGTACTTCTTTAGTCAAGCATTGCTTTAGACGGCTGGCTCCCCCTTTCAGCAAGAAACGAAATATGTTTACGCCAGGTACCAAACCTAGATTACCCTTTGCCTTTAAATTTAGTACATCGGCACGTTACTGTTTCACCATTACAGGGGTTTTTTAGTGATAGGTTGGCACATAATTCTTTCTACAGTGATTTTTCTACAGCTAATTGCATAAATGGAGTGCGAAGAATGCCTTGCGGTGTTTCAGTCCACCTTGTGCGCACGTTGGTGCTCCTGTGCTTCCAAAGATAGTTAAGGCTCTGGAGTACCCTTCTACTATAGAAATGCTAGAAAAAATTTCATAAGTTTGACGATGCCATCAATAGAACCAAGTTAGGAACGGAGGGGTGTAAATTTAGTGAAGAGTATTACTGCAATTAGAAAAGCTGGCTGAAGGCCCACATTACTGTAATAAACTGAGCCCAGAAATGACGCCTATTATACGTTAATTGCGTTTAGGTATTGACTTTAGGCCTCGGGTTAAAAAGCGAAAGTCGCACAAACCATTGGGTAGTAGTAAACTTCCTTTCTTCAGCTGTTTTTGTTGCGCACGTAGCAAATAAACTAGGAAAAGATCCTAAAATGTCAGCAGACTTCATCGAGTACTTGTAATCGTACTAGACATGTTACAGTAATTAGATTAACACAAAATCATGTTAGTCGAATTGCTAAGTACGCTAGCAAAATTTACAAACTATACAAATACAAATCTAAATGTAAATGCTGGATACTTTTTGGAAATGTCGCTTTCGAACACAAACCGGCGAAAAGCAAACATCTCGATAAACAAGGTAGTCGAATAAGATTGGCAATACAACTTTGTGGGACCAGTTTCAACAAAACTCTCAACGAGGCCCATTTGTCAGAGGATGATGTAGATGCCCGGTCGAAACGTTAACTCAGTTACAGTGTTCGTATAGCTCAAAGCAACATCGGAAAACATTCTGGAAACGCTATACGACTTTTGTTATGCGCTTTCTCATATCATTTTACACGAGATAGCATAGCTATGATTAAAACTTCCTGATTTGTATGTCAAACGCCAGCTTTTTCTGAATGTTTATAAACACATTTTGAGTTTCACGTCCGGTGTTGGCGCTACACTTCACACGACAGCTGACGGCCCCTTTCCACAGCGCAAAGCAAACCATGTGTTTATGCTCGATACCAATCTAGACCACCTTATCATATGTTCTTATATTTAGTAGGCAAACGCGTTTCTACTGCACCATCGCGAGGGCAGGCGGAAAGACATTTTCATTTGTTTCCGAGCGAACCTTTACCTGATCAAACCTGTAGCTGGACAAATGACGCAACGTCCCATCCATCTACATCGATTAGAATAAGCCTGTGGTTACCTCGAGTAAAAATACGTCACATCTATTTCAGGCGGTTTAGGAATCTAGGCTGGAGAACGTAGCTACTGAGGCTGCTTGGGTTTAGTTCGTATACTATGAATAAACTGTTTATATAATTACGATGCCGAATTATCTATGCGATCATGCACGGGTACGTTATGTCTATATATCATCAAAGAGATGCCGATATACGATATAGGGCATCGAAACTCGAAAAGGGTGCTGGTGAAATGAAGAGAACCGAAAAGTTACAAAACAATACTAGGCGTTCAACGGCAGGGAAACGACAAATGAGAGGTAGTTTCGGTAGAAGAGTCTGGAGAAAAAATGAGAAAAAATTGCACGATATCTTACACGCGGGTGAAAGAGTAAGACACAAAATGTAGAAGATTCAAGTAGAAAGCGCTTTTACTTTCAGGGTAACAAAGCGATGACAACTAGGTCTCAAACAGAGAATACTTTAACCTTGTAAATTTAGTTCCGCCAAGATGCAATATTATTACTCCGTTGGTCCGAAGAGAAGCCGAGAGAAAACAGAGAACAGCGGTAATAATTTAGCGGAAGATTAAGGGCAATGTCATTGTTAGTAGTATGCGGCATACGTTGGGTGGCACGGTTCTATTATTATTTTTATTATTATTACTATTTGCCTTTCTTGCTGAGTTGCAGGCTGCCATTACTACGCCTGCTTTAGCCGCGACAGACTCCACAACAGCTGCAGCTGCCGCCAAACCTGAGCCAGCAAAGGAGGTTGCCACGACAGCCCCTGCCGCGGGCAAGAAGTCCCGCCCTGAAGCTGACCTCTCATCATTACCAACACGCCAGTATCTTGACACGACTGTTGTACCCATACTTCTGCAGGCGTTATCGCAGTTGGCCAAGGAGCGGCCCGCGTCGCCTATCGAATTCGTGGCAAACTACCTTCTACAAAACAAGTCCCATTACGAAGGTGGGTCTCAGCAGCAGAGCATCGATAAGTAGATGGAATGAAACGAAAGAAGAAACAACAGAGATGGGGGTCATAATGAAAGAAACTATGCTACGAGAAAGGAAGGTTGAAAAGACGAAGAACCATCGACGGAACTCACTTTAAAACGGAGAGAAGAAAACTGAAACGTCAGTAATGAGAAAAAGCAGAATGCAACACAGGTGGAATAATATACGAAGTAAGCAAACAATACAAATGGAAAATGCTTGAGAAAATCAATGTTTATCATCACACACATAGACACGGATACACATGTGAATTTAAACATAGTATCTATTACCCGAACAACTATCGTGGTGCTGCATTGAAATCCGTAATGTTAAATGATGGACCTTTTTAAGAGGCATTAGGAAGATGCAACAACCATCGTGCGCCGGTACAATTCGAAATTTGAAATAACTGTCAGTCAGACAGCGCCATCCATGCAAGTCTTATCTATCTATCTGTCTATATATATATATATATATATATATATATATATATATATAGCTGGTGTATCCGTCGGCGCGCAAAAGTTGCGTCCAATACACCGATGACAGGGATGCTTGAGATGGATAGCTGGGGGCCGGCGTGTTTGACTGGAATGGACGAAAGTGGAGTCAACGGAATCCGTATAGATTGCTGCAGGATATCCGTATATGTGTATACCTCTAAATATGTAAAGACTCACCGATGATATTTCGAAGTCGTGTAAATTTGGATAACAACTCGATTGGCAGCAAACATTGGCATATATGGTTTAACAGCGCACAAAGAGGCATCGTTAAGGAAATAACTAGTTTCGCGAAGGGATACACATTGATCGCTAGGTTAATAATCGACGCATGATTAGCAAGATTATTTCCGTGCATACGACACCGACCCTAGCGCTGTTTAGCAGTCTATCGGGCCAAATAAAATGGCGCCAATCTGTTGTTTTGCGCTGTCAGTGTTCGAGATTCAAAATAGCGCGAGCTGCTAACGTGACCCCCTTCGCGTTTGTTCGGGATCTAATATGATACTATATGACTGTCACAACTATGAGATGGTATCTTCAAACATGTTCTGATATTTTTCCTGGGCATCTGTGGACGCAACAGGAAGGAACAAAGCGTAAACCATAAATCTACTGCCGGGATGCACACAATCAAGGAAATATTAAAAATCATAAGTCCAAACAACACGACAAAAAACGAGCGAGCGACCGATAGAGCAAGATAGGATAGATAAAAGCAAAAACTCAACCCTAAATTATCAAACAGGAGCTCGAAGGTATGAGAGGCTATTTCAGATCACGACAGTGCTGACACTGCAAATAAAGAATGACGAAACAATACGAATCGGTAACGACGACGATAATAATCATAAGGAAAATAATACTAATTACTGATAACAGCAATGGAACTGAATATTAACTAGTAAACCCAAGCCCACGTACACACATGCGCCGAGATCAAAGTGCGGCGTTAGCGAAAACGTGAACCGGCGGGTTTGCGCGTAGTGAGTGATGTTGTATCCGTTCAGGCCATGCAGGCCGGTTAAATCTGCGCAGTGAGAGGATGCGCACTGTAATGTAAAATATTTTGATGTTGCGTTTACCGCGAATATTATTAACGCGAAAGGCATTTGTAAAGATGTTAACTTGCAATTTGATGCTGCTGCTTCTGTGGCTCCTGCAAAGTGCTGACGATAAACAAGCAAATGGTCGACAAGTGAGTTGGGTAATGATAAAAACAAACAATGGCCACTTTCCTTCGAACAAGCAAAAAGTTACTATAGAAGAAAATATGAAAGTAACTGGACGTGTACAAGGCGATAGCAACATTGACTGATGCGGAGGTTAACGAGATCCGGGGAAAAATCGCGTAAACTGTACGCAGGCATGGCTAGAGAATTCATGATCGAATCGATAGCGGTCGATCGAACAACAAACGGCTAAGATAATTAATTACGAGTCACGAAGACACGTATTACACAGTTAGACATACGCAAATTCCTAGTATACATACACCCAACAGTGGCATTATGTTCGTCTCAAAAAACATAATTATAATGAAGATGCAAATCATTAGTCGGTAAATATATTCCACATTGGTTTCGTACGAAGAGAAACGATTTAATATTATTTGTAATGTGGTTAGAAAAGCATTTTGTTTCTAATCGAAGTTATCGTTAGGCATTATCATCGTAACTATTGGCTATATTTTAAGTTGTTGATTAGTGTTCAATCAGCCGTTTAGTTTTTGCAACAATCCCAGTCGTTCGCTGGTTATAATATGGAATTTCGGAATCGTTTTTCTCCATATGGATAGAATTCGGTTGTTTGGATACTCGAACATGCCAGAAACAATTTCCCATAGTCGGTCGTCGTCACTGCTGACGCTGAAGGTGAATTCATGAACTCTAACGCGACGAACGTTTAGGAAAGACGCGTACAGAAAGCAAAACTAACTAACAGAGAAAAAAACAACAGTAGCAGCAACAATAGCAACAACAACAACAACAACAACAACAACAACAACAACAACAACAACAACAACAACAACAACAACAACAACAACAACAACAACAACAACAAGGATAAACAACACGGGATAAATCACTTTGAACGGAGCTGAAAGCGCCGAGAGTCCTGCAGGACAGAGTAAACATGTACAATGAATTAACTGAAACAACAGCAACAAGCAAAAAAGTAAAAAGCCAGTATAATGAAAATAATAAATGTCACTTAAATTGAGCAAGCCAACTGATGTTTTTATTAGATTGCACTCGAATGACCCTATAGATAAAATAAAATCAGTTGTTAAATAAATAAATAAAAGAAAAAAAGTTAGAATAAATAAGCGATGATATATGCACTTGATGAGTTAACGGACGACGAACAAACTGACTCTGTGTACAATGATGAGCCCTATTAGAACGTAAGCATCTCAGATTATCCCGGAAGTATTCCAGTAGGGAAGTATTCCAGAAGAACTTCTCATCGTTCACTGCCGCCATATATGTATAATGTATATTTTCTAATTTTGGGAGCTGATAATTAAGTAACAACATGTCTCTTGAGCTGCGTCGTTATTGCATGAAACAACTGAGGGTATTGCTATTACGTCGGTATGTTAGGCAAAACATTCAAGGATGTCGTGGTGCGCTTGAGCTTAACCGAAGAAGGGTGCTTTCGTCTAATCTATTGCCTGATTGTTAGTGCTGTACCGAAACAACTGCAGATTTGATAATGTGCCATGATATCCATCACTATATACATCGGGTAGTCAGTCTGTATTTGCGAGGCTATAGGGAGACAGAACCCGAACAATAATGGTTCAGGCATCAGGTTCACACATCGCCACAGCGTCAATACCAACGATACCCAAGGGACTTATATAGGTTCAAGGGTGGTCATCTATATAGAAAAGCAAGGCGGGTTGTCTTTGAGGCAGGTTGACCGGCAAGCCATGGACCGCCCAAAATATATATATGTAGTGTCCCAAAAAGACATTCACGTTGGCATCATGTACTTGAATTTACTACCGCAATCTATTTTAATATGCAATGGGGAGTACATTGGTGGAGATGCCAAATTTCATTTCCAACAAAACGGAGCACCTGTATAGCATCTTCGTGATGTAAAAGCACATCTTCATGAGAATCTTCCAAGAAGATGGATTGGACAAAAGAGTCCCGTAGAAGACTTACTCGTTCCGTAATTCTGACGCTAATAGATTTTTCTTGCAGGGATCCCTTACTACGCACCTTTTAACTGTTGATGCTGAGCCTATACCACGTTGACTTGTGCTAAACAACCTAGACAAAAACAGCAAGTTCGCTGATTGACTTGCAGAAACATAGTGGAGGTTATTAGACGTAGAGTTGTCGTGTCAAGGCTGATAGATCCTCTGGATCTATGAGAGAGATGAGAATATAGACAATGATTAAAAGAGTTTATACGGAGCCTTAGAACCATAAACGAATCAAGTGCTTTCGGCTTATCACAGTTGCAAGAAGTCGTGTATTTGAAAAAACCGTATGCTCTAGAAATGTGTTTTGTATATAGGTGGATGCATTACCCAACAATAACAAACCCAAACACATGCCGTTTGTCACTTTCGGCTTCTGCTGCCGTTTGAGTCCTGTCAGCTGTACCAGATAAGAATGCTATAGAAAGCATAATATGGTCGTTGTGTATTACCTACACAGCCACGAGGAACTACAGTTGTTGTCTAAGCGCTTAGTACACGACTACCATTTCTATCTGGCTTGAAAAGAAATTACCGAGCGCCACTTTTAACTATGGTCCAGAGCATAGCAATGGTTTGGAGCGAACTAATTGCAATGAACGGCCGCTTGAACGTCTGATTCGACGCACTGAGTGAGTAGGGCCAAGATTAAAAAACAATTCAATTCGAGCATTAGCAGCAAGCGAACTCTCCGGTGTGGAAAGGCTACATTGCATCATGCGGTGAACAGTTTGTGCTCCGCTCCTAGTGACGAGGCTTTCTGAGGAGAAAATTTCGTGTTGCCTTCATTTGTCTACTCCTTCACGTGTGTAGCACGTATTCAAATTATATTATTTCGGAACACCGTCTTGTATATAAAAACAGCTTAAGGCTGACTGTTTTGAGTTTTACGTCGCTGCTAAGGGTTCCATAATGTATTATTTTTCTAGCTACCAGAAATGTTCCAAGTCATCACCGTTCGCGTTAACACACCGCTGATCATGGTGTGGCTATTGATTGACGAACTTTAACGAATACTTTGATTGATATTGAGCATTACTGCTTTATTGCGTATTGTATATTTTCGTGTGTTGTCGGTTTTCTAAGGTGGCGTTTATCTTGAAGGTATCTTAACGATAAAAGTTCGTTACTGTTAAATTTAGGAAATCGATGGAATGCTTAAAAGCGATAGTGGACGTAAAACTCGAAACATGGAGGTGTAGAGAACATGTAGAGTAGTCTATGGGACATCTTCGTTATTTATCTGTTTGGAAAATTCTCATGAAGGTATGCTTTTACATTACGGTGATAGTGTACCGATACTCTCTCGGTTCAAATGCGTTATTTTCACCAAAGCCCTTTTGAATGCGTGCAAAATTCAGGTAAGCGGTGCCAGTGTATTCATTTTTTTGGGATATACATATATAATGCATTTACGCGAAAAAAGTTACTGAGGGTTTTTCATTATTATTTCTTATTTATTACTATTTATTATTACTATACAAGTCGCGAATGAGCAAGCAGTGTAGCAGTGAGAAACAGATAAAACTGATCAACTAGGATTCCAAGTTTGAACTCCGATCTGATTTTTTTTGGTTTTATTAGCAGTAGAGGAAAACCATTATCTAATCTGGATTAGATCTATCGTCGCAGAAAAAAATAGATTGTTATCGGATTTATCTATATTTGAAAATTTGCTTATATATACTCTTTGTTCTGGTGAACTCTTAAGGCTAGGTAAAAAAAATTATCTCACATTAAATGAAACTGCCTCTGAAAATAATGTCCAATTTAATATTTCATTTCGCATTTACATATTTTAATTACTACATATATAGTCTTAAAATTGAAACCGCTTGCATTTCGTTTGAAGGCTGACGTGGTACTTAGATTAGACGCAAAAAGATTTCACGTCTGTATCTATGGCTGTTGTCAATCAAGAAAATTAGGTTTCCATTCTGCTAAATGTCGATTGCTGCAACGTAATACCTAAGATATGCAACTTCTAGATTCTCACAGTTTGCAATGTTTATTAAAGAACGCCGGTAGCTTTCAGCTTACTCTAGGTACCTCGATCCATAGAACGACCTACTGCTATCGGCGTACGTCGAAGACAGATACTGGATTATGTTATTCTACTCTGTGTCAAATGTTATGTGCGATTTAGTCATGCTGGCAGTAACGTGCAGACCACACTCCAAGCTGCAGACGCGGCTTCACCACGAGTGGATGGACTAAACCGCACAATGGCCTCTATTTCGTTCAGGCCAAAAGCACCAAATCCAATCCATTGCTCTCACTTGGTCCAAATCAATATCACACAGGCCTTACTTTTACCGTTATTAATAGCTATATGGTAAATACAGTCAGATTAAATTGATTTACATTTATACAATAGTTTTGCGTTTCATTGGCATTCCATATAATATTAGTTATGATAACATATTTATGTTATATTATGTGTCAAAAGCCAAATCTCTTCTCGCTATCGTGTCATACACAATTAGACACAGGAACAAAAAAAAAAAACAAAAAAAAGCACTAATTTTTAGAACTGCACCAAAATCGCCCCATCGACACTATGGATTTTTTTCTACAAATGTAATTATATTATAGATAAATGAAAAAAATGAAGTGACCTTGGGTAGCTGGCATAGTTAGTGATTTCGCATCATAATCATACAGCGCTTATTTTTGAGTAGGTAAAAACGCATTATTAATAAAAGACAAATGCTCATTACCTCTTTCTGGACAAGTAAAGGACGTTACGCCGTGTGCAGAAAACAGGAAGCTGAAGTGGAATCTCTCGTCAGGAAGATAAAAAAACTTTACGTGATCAACTACGAAAGGGCAGATCAAATCACGTTTAAATTGACCTAACTCACAGCCAACTTTATATTTATATAAAATTTACAGTACAGTTTACAGTATTTGAGGCGCTTATATGACTTAAGAAGAGTTAGATACTCTTTTTTCGGCGAGGTGTCTTTGCTGTTTATCAAATAACAAAATAGTTAGGTTACTATTATGCTTTGGCTTTGTACCAAATCTTAAACATTTTTTTAAAATTTGTTTGAAGGATAGTTATCTCATGCAGCAGTTCCAGGTAACAAATCTCTATCCCTTAGCTTGAAGTAGTAGCGATATCTGCTGTAGTCGAAATTGAAGGCTGTTTGACTAATAAATACTTTTTAGCGCACGCATTTTCAATGCTGTCCATGTTAAAAATGCGCGCAATAATGAAATAATCAGAACAAACCAACTACCGGGGTCTCTGAATGGCGCATCATCAAAGATTTTTCGGGCTAGCCACAGACACTTTATTTGTGTAAATCTAATTTATACTCTCTACTATTATGCAGTGCTATATATTGCACTGCATAATAGTAGAGAAACAGCGATTTACTGAAGAGAAAGATTATTAAAAGATATCCTGCCAGTATGAGACGTTTGTGTACGCCGAAGACGGCATAACCTAACGATAGTAAATGGTCACAAAGACAAGCATAATAAAAGTTCAAGCAAACAACTGGCATTAGGGTGGACCGATTCCAACGACTCAGAGATCCAAATTCAGCTAGTTCACTCAAAGCAAGACGGATTGGGCTGTAAAAAAAATAATCGAACGACATTAGAATAGCTGGAAACCTCCACGCCTTTGTCTAGTAGATAAGATTTTCTTCTAAGTATTGTCCAACTTTGTAACGTATTGTTCTACGTCACACAGTGTAAGATACGACACGGCTCCAAGGGCGCAAAAAGGAAGTGAAGTCAACTTTGTCGTTAACTATATGAAATATCTCATGCATGACGTCACTCTGCCCCAAATTTACATATGTTCACTGCTGACGAGAAAAGCGCATAGGTCGGACGCATGGATCTTATTAAGTAATCTTTGCTCAGTACTTTAAAAGATCTATGCGTGCCAGTGGAAGTAATGGAGTTATTTTTTATACCTAAGTGTTTCGAACCTTACGTTTTGTGCCGCCGTTAAGCGTTGCCTGAGATATTTTTCATACCTGGAAACCTGCTTAACATACATAAAGACAGTTAAACACTCTGCATCTTTTCACAGTTTGTATACTTCCCTTAGTCCGTTTGCGTTGACAGATATATTTGTATTGAAGGGATTCGATTACTTTGTTTAGCTACTATAGCTGACCTACTTAACACATCTTTGACTATTAATTTTTTTGAAACCAAACAAACGGACGGACAGCACTGTTAGGATCTAAACTTCCGCGATTAACTTCTACCAACTTGGCTTTCTAAGCCTACATGAGGCGTACTCGTTTAGACACACTTTAATAATCTGATTAATCTTAAAAAAAGTCACGATACAGACACAGCTATGTGTCCAGTAGGATTTTATTCGGTATTGATGGTATAGATGTGTAACGGTTTTTATCCTTTTCAGTCACTGGCATTGATTATGACGAGTTACACTGCGTTGCAAATATGGATGCAATTATCTCTTTAGGTACAGCAAACAAAACGATACATAGACTGACAGGAGTAGTTTTGATTGCCTTTATATAATGGTAGCTGAGTGCTCACAATGATGGACTTGCGAGCCAGCCTCTTTCATTGGGTTCTGCCCTGACTGCTAACACTCTGCTTGGACCCCTCAGTCTATCTCAGTGGCTGAAGGACTTTTCAGGTCTATTTTTGCCTGGGCTGAAAAAATCGCTTAGTTTTAGTACGCTGTATATTTACTTTTGTAGTGGCTTGCTACTGGGTACACAATTCTACCTACTACCCGTTTATACAGGTCCAGCCAATCCTTTACGAACCATCCCGTAATACTTTTAAGTAAAGGTCCATATCCATTTGAAGGGCCGCATGGGAGAGGGGTAGAGAGTTACTTACAGGTAGTGCTCTCGACGGAACTATATTTAATCATTGGGGCTAAGACTCACACTCAGCCTACATAAAATGTATTTTGCCCTAATGGTGTCCTGATAATAAAAAAATATTACTCTAATCTTCTTAAAAAAGTCCCCCGTGAACTAAACACGTTTTCAGTTGACTGCTTCAATAATATGAGGCATAGTATCACAGACTATGCGGTGGGTACTTTTTCACTATCATTTTGGATTATTCGTAGAGTGCAAACATGCTTCCGTGAAGATTTGCGCGTGAAGGTACATATTTAATAATTGCAAGAAAACAAGGGTTTAACCACTAACTGTCCCAATGATTATTTGTACAACGAGCCCTTACGTTTAATGTTGACCCCGTTGGTTACGCTTTGGAATAGCAAGACAGTCAGCTCCACAACCGGTCGCAACGTGTGAGTGCCTTCTTTAATTACCTTAGTCTGTTTAGGACAGAGTATGACTTGTCTTCTACGACGTAGGATATTGTGCCACTCTAGATGATCGCTATATCTAAATAATTACGGTCACTTTGATAGGGGTTTTCTTTGTTTTCTGATTAATGTTTCATTAGCTTGGCAATGAATTTTGTTAGTGTCTTTCCTTGCTTCACCTATACAGTGTAGGGTCTGCCTGTCGCCAGAAGCTGCTGGGCGTATCACGTCCCGTAACTAGACTAACTGGTTTTCAGCGCTTTTTTCGGTTGTTCAACGTAAGACGGTGTTCTTTGCGATCGCCTGTTGTTCAATAATTTTTGTAGTTTGGCAACAAAGGAAGATACCACATGAATACTTGTTATCGTCTATTGAAGCAAATTTAGTCCGTCTTCGACACGAAGATGTCGTGTATTGTCCACAGCCCGGCTCACCCCCTACTATAAAAATCTATTGACATTACTGTTAAAATATGCATTGAAAAAAAAACGAATATTTTTTCTATTTTAGCTGTTTAGCGTTGTTAGGCTACGTATGACATTCAAGGCGTACATGAAGATAATTTTTGGGCAACGCAAAAAAACGCTGTCCAATAGCTTGATTTTGCTTGAATTCGCAACGATATCTACAATGATAAGACATATTCCGACACATAGCTGAGACATGTAGTGACCTGAATAATGACTTAGGATTTAGTGGTACCGTGAGACCGTATTAGTCGCATATAAAGCAACCTCTACCATTTTATGATATATTAATTTCTATATGTCACAATGCGTAGCCAAGAGATACAGCGTGAGGTGTAGAGGCCCGCTATAAGAAATATGAAGGGACGGCGATAATTTCCTCGGTTAAGGTTGACCAGGCAAATGTCGAGGATATCGATGGCCTTCTCTCGGGCTTTGCTGGCGTCTCTGCTTGATCAGGGTCGCGGCAAGCTCCGCGAAAAAATTAGTTATGTGCTTTGCTGGAAAGTGGGGTGACACGTACAAAAGAAGCTAAGCGATGGACGTTAACAGAATGGGGTCTCGACTTGGAGTGAAAACCCTCTTAGAATCTGTTACAAGAGTACGTAGTGAGTGTTCCATCTGTCTCGATATTGTAGACAATCATTGATGTGGTGAAGCGTAGACCCGTGTACGGCTGGTTAGGAAAGAAAAGTAAGATCACATCCAGCCCCTTTCTCTAGCCTCTCGAATTCAACTACTGGCCGATAGGGAGTAGGTTGAAATTTGTAGAGCGTCAACTTCAGTTTGGCTGCACTGGAAGCTGAACTGGATCGATGACAAATATTTTTCCATAAAGGATAGTCAATAACTAGAACCTTTTTATCCTCTAGGGTCGATCATATCTCACCTCTACCAAAAAAATTATACATCTAAAGGTTCCGTTCTAACAGGTTCTTGGAATTTCCAACAGTGTTCACCGTTGTGACGAAACAAAGTACTTAATGTCCTATTGAACATCCTTTTCCTCAAGTTGATACGTTCGTTCAGATGTGTATAGAATTTGCATACGAGTAGAAAATGTGTTATTTATCGGGGTCTCCTTGATTCTCGTAACGGATTACTCACCGAATTTTTTAAATGAATTATAGCAAAAAGTTCTCAAAAAGCACCGTCACAAAAGTGATTACGTTTTTACTGAGGCTGCCAGGTGACAGTCCACTTCCGAAGGAAAATCTAATATTGTTTTGATGCACTCGTCAAAGAGCGGACAAGCTCTCTTTTATTAAGGTCTGTGTCATTTTAGGAGAAAAGGGCTATAATCGTTGATGGTGCCAGTCGCCGAGAGAAACATTAACGCTTTCCTAGATGTTCTATAATTTCAACAATGAACGCAACAACTTGCCAGTAAACTCATTCATTGCCTCACCAAAATGTACGATCAATTGGGTGGTGCATTTAAGTTTCTGCTACTTCCAAATGCATTTCGAGCCTCTAAAGGCCCCAAGATTATGCAATTGCTGCATTAGCTGAATTATTAACGCATCTAAATCTATTGCTATCTATTGAACGATATCAATTGGGAGCTCAGGTGTTCTTTTCAAGCAAACAGTAACGCTTATCCGTCAAACTTCTTGATTGCCTATACTAGCGTATAAAGAAGAACTAAACTGCCACTTGAGTGAATCACTTTAATGAAATAACATTATACTCTGCGTTGTAAGATGGTGCAGTAAAAGGTATGCATAACCGGTTCTGTGTGGCCAATGATGCGGCAAGAATATAGATATCCGTCCCTTTAAGGCGTTGCTATGGCCCCCGGTGAATGGGCAGTTTTTACTGTGCTTTAAAAGATAGTAGTAGGCCAACAGGTATTTTAGAGGGCGAAGTACCGTCGTCAGCAAAATTATACCGAATTTTTACAGTTTCTTTAGAACCAATGAGCTATCGCAGTTACTTCAACCGGGTGTGAGTCGACACAATAGAATCTGTAGGACCCTGTCTAGCCAGGCTACTATCAGTAGCGGTCTACTTATTCATATATTTTGTTCAATACTATACGTTCAATATCACGTTCAATACTATACGAACATTTTTATATAAATGGTGGTTTTATTAATAAACACACAAAAAATGAGGCAGCTAACTCCTTGCAGCGAATTACCAGATTCTCGAACTTGGTTGACCGTCAAGTATGATCCATATCCAACTTTGACAATCATTAACTTCAGGTCGGCTTCATTGATTTCCATGTCAGTTACATGTCAAGCAGTTTTCCCAGGGGCTAGTCGAAACTCAGTACGTTCTTGCACCGTACTGGTTACCTAATCTCGTCCTGAAGGGAACAATTGTAATGTGTAATCCCACATCTCGTTTTATTTTGTTTTTTTTCACTGCAGGGAAAGTTACTTATGACACTAAAAAACCTCTTAAAATTATCTCTTGAGCCCGATGCCCAGATTTAAACACACGCTTTCCGCAAAACTGGTTCTTGATGTTACTAATAATAATAACACACATATATGCCTTTAATCCGGATGCATCGACAGTAAGGGTGATAATTATTTGCTAATTATATATGTCGTGTATTGATGATATGAGGAATTAGAGGTATGTTTCTACGCTAGGTTAATCGTCGGAGGGAAAATAGTTCTGTTAAATTTGATAAACATTATTTGAGGTTTTTGGAGAAGTGTAGGTAATCTATCGCTCAGAGGTGTTGGTTATTTATCTTTGTATTATAATCGGAATCTTTGCTGATTTCATTCAATTAAATAACGATTCGTACAATGTAATCGGGGTGCTCTATTCGTAAAATCACGTTTGTCTTGTTCAAGTAGCATAGAAACAGATGAAAATTTGAGTAAGATTTTGAAGAGTTCCAGGGTAGATGCATTGACGATATTGTTGCGAAACCACTATAAATATCAGGAAAATCATGTTCTCGTCTGTCTCTCTGTCTGTCTGTCTGGACCGGGTCTGGTCTGGTCTGATCTGATCTGATTTGTCTGTTTGTCTATACCTATCTGTCTGTGTCTGTCCGTCTGTTTATGCCTGTCTGTGTCTGTCTGCCTGTCTGTCTGATCTGATCTGATTTGTCTGATCTGATCTGACGCCGGCCTTGGGCTCAGAAGCCAATGATGGGTTTTGCAGTTGCAATTATCGCCGCATACTCGAAGCCTTCAACCGATACAGTTGGAACTGTGACGTCCATGATGACCATGATTCAAAGCAGATACGACGACGCCGAGCCTTGGTGTCGTCAGCTCCATCAGCGGGGTGTGTAGACGTGTCCGACAATAATAGTAGCACACGAAAAAGAATAGTTCCTCGTAATAAATTGTGAATAGCAGTCAGATTTCTTGTCATAAGCACTAGGACAATCTCGGTTATAAGGGATCCTGTTAACAGTTGATCTGTTATCTATGCACTCGTGTCTCTTAGGCGTCCCCACGCTACTTCTCTATGGTAAACGTGACAAGCTGATAGACGTGGCGATCTCGGAGGAGATGGCCGGTTACCTCGGCAATCCACACAAGGATACGTATTACTTGTACTCGGGCAAAGACGACACCGAAGCTATTATGACCAGACAGGTAGGAACAACTAACCGTGTACCTATTGTTCAATGTGTAATTCTTCTCTAACTTATTCTGGACTATTGTCGTAGATAGTTAGCATAATAACGAACATTGTTAAATTGCAGGGATATGAGGCCCACCAAAAATTTAATTAAATGGTTATACCATGCCTTTGTCCAATTTCACCTGTTCAAGGGACGAGTTTCTTTGTCAGATTAACACTGTGAACAATAGATATATCTCGCTGTATGTTTGCTTGGTAAAAACATTTTCGAAACAGATTCACGGTTATCAATACTTAATCTTAAAGAAAATAGATAAAGTGAAAGAACAATTACATACTGGTGTCGTTCAGCTTCAGGTCTGTTCGCTGAATATTCCGCTAGGCATGTGTACTTCTGTCAGATTTACCTTTTCGTATGGCCAGCATTACTTGCATGGTTGCGTGCAATGCTGTGTTAAAAAAAAAAAATATCGATAACACGTTTTACAACAAAGTAGCTTAATATAGTAGTATCAAACTCTGCTAACGCCGCTGTTACGTATCTCATTTACAGGGCGTTTCAAACTATAAGCTTCCCGAGGTGGTTTGTTTCGAACATGGATCACACTTCGCCTTCCGGAAGTTTCCCGAAACTTACAATTTTCATGTGGCCAATTTCTTACAGAGACATATCCGCGAGACGCTCAATAAGTGAGCATGGTAAATATACTGTGTCCTGTAAGATTTTGCGACGTATGGCCTAGCGATCAGCCGGCAGCTTTCTTTCGTATTGGTCAAGCTATCAGCATGGAATCGATGACGCCTCAGTTTTATTCACATAGACGATGCACGCCAATTTTCGTTTCCTCGCGGTTCTCTAGGTGAAGTGTATTAATTGTTGCAGTGAATCACTAGTAAACTTTTCATTAGCGAACAGAATGGAACTGAAGAATTATAAATGCCCTATATACAGGCATATTTGACGCTTAAGATGGAGGCGCAACGTAAACGTGTTTTCGGTAGTAAATGCATAGATGTTAATCCCTGTGGGTGTACGAGCGCTCCGGTACGAGTGGGTTACCACGCAAGGTACAGATGATGAAAAAGAAGGGTGATGATGACAATTTTGGGCATGAGGCAGAGAAAAAAAGACGCAAGTTCTACAGTAGTTGGTTGGTTGGTTGGTTGGTGGCGAATGGTCGGAAATAAACAAATCAATTGTTTGTTCACCTGCGAAGATTTCTCTAGTTCAAAATGTATTCCACTTCTCGAATGGATATGATAATGTAATTGTCCTTCTTTCTACTTTAATCTGTGCTGGATTTACTGAACGATCTCCGGAGTAGTCTAGAAACACCTGACTGTACGTTAGTCAAATCGGCAAACTAATTGTGATAAAAAGGGTCTATTCGATTTGGTCCTAATCGAAAAATCATATGGTTACCATACGAGTAGACAGCCGACCGAAATTTCCTGCAATCGTTTAGCTGCCCATACGTAACCTACAACTGTGAAATACATAATTATTATAGAAATGATATATACAACACCCAAATACTCTGCTTTTAGTATCTGCCCTCATTGTGGTGTAGTATTACTGCAATGTACACAATCTTAACGTTCTATAAAAATCACCATCTATTTTGGCGGTACCTATAAAACAAAAAACACACGGCTATATTATTCTATAGCATAGTAGGTAATCATTTAGGAGTACAAATAATAAGCATAAAGAGTCCAGTCCATTTTCCGACACCCACTGGCTACTTGTCGCGTGGCATTACATTATCACGTCTATTCGAATGTATTCAAGTATAAAAATGTCACCGAGGCGCCAGTGGGGGTATTTGATAAACCTGGATGAGCGATAAAAACCCGAGTGTTTCAAAATAAAACGGAATGAGGAAAAGGCCGCTGTTTCTCTGCGACCTGTGTGATACTATTATCCCGTATATGCTGTAAGGCAGCCATTTAATAAATACACACAATGATAATCATTAAATGGCGTCTATCTATCGATGACGACCTATCGATCTAACGATGAGAACAACTGTCACCTGGCAACGTTTGCTATTTTCTGTTGATATGTTATATATCAAATAGAGATATTTTATTAGCTTTAGTGTGTTGTCCATTTATATATGGTTGCTGATTGTGCGTCTCTCTAACCGGTGAATACCAAAGGGCCTTTTTTCGATTCGTCTATGTTTCTTTCGACGTCGGCGATAAACCAACACGATCCACGTTAATCTATCAGATATGAACCGATAACCTATGAACTCCATTGTGGACGAGCAAAAATCATTCTACCTTACTTATATCCTTCTAATCGTAACAAATGATCCTGCTATTGGTAAAATCGTGGTTGACAACGTCAATATTTACAGACCTTGGGCTATCTAGCGAACTGTCAATGGAGTCACTTTTGTGTCGTACTTTCATATTGCCCGTATGGAATAATACGTCAGGGGCACAATGTCACCCGTGATTTAACATGGTATGTTAGTATAATCTCTTCAAATATTTAGTAAGGCTTGCGTTTGTACCACATAAATATTTGCTTGACACAGCAGTCAGTAATGTTTATTGGGTTGTTGTGCTTGGGTCAGTTTCGTCTTCATAGTTTTCAGATACGGTTGTCAGACATTTGCACCGAGGGGTTACCTACCGAGAAGTTAGGGCCAGTCACGTAGCAAGGTTCTTCATAGTATCCTCTGTAAAGCATTAACATTCCTGAAAACTATCCGAAACATGGAAGCTTTTTGTATTTCCTGTTTCGAATTTCGCGGAATTTCGTTTGTATGGGTTTTGCAATACTAAATACTTTTCACATATCCCGAGTTCGTCACAGCGACACTAGCGGCAGAAGCCTACTTCGTTTATATTCGTTCCTAGCGAATCGTAACCTTATAGCATATTTCAAATGAATTTTATGGGATCGGTATCATTCGGTTTCTACCGGGTTGTGCTCTTAGTAATGTCGAGTTGTCAACCTAACAAAGGACTCAGTGTTTCATTTAAATACTAGAACAGGCTCCCACTCAAGGCTTTGTAGTATGGTTTTAACAAAATTTGCCGTGTGTGGCCTGGTACCGTCGTAGAGAAGGGATATTTTTTCATATTATTAACCCCGGATTGCTTCGACAGCTTCCTGTCGAAGGTACCGAAAGTGCGCGTTTTCTCTACCAAACATCAACTCTGTTTGAAGCTTGAACACAAACTGAAATCACAGCACAATGAAAGTACAACAAACTCCCGGAAGAGACATGGTTTTCGAATTGTATATTAAGTCAACGATAAGTAGTAAAGAAGAATGCAGATATTAAGTAATTTGCCACAACTTGTGGTCCAATTTAGAAACCTATATCTACCTATTATAAGTGCATATCATCTATTCGAACTTGTCTAAGTGAACCTGAAAATTGTTGTAGTATAGCTAACAGACGCTTTTTTGATTTTCCAGAATATGTGCCCAGCTAGAAATACGTTACGTGTCAGCAACGCGTGTTTACAAACTAGTTAGGTTCTCTCCGATATGTACGGTGGTGTGGTAAACGTGTTTATGTCTATGGTGTATGCGGTTTTCGTATTGTACTAATGTGCTTCAATATGTTTTTTATGAAAGGGTTTTTTTGGTATGTTTTATGATTGTACGTAGTGCCTTTTGTGCCTAACCATAAATGAATGAGCTTTGTTGCTAAGTTGGAGCTGTCGCGCTCGGAATCAAGATTTTCCAAAAATTGTAACGATATCAAACTTACATTTGTGTGCTTCGTTCTTTTCAAACATAAATCCATGGTAGGCACCTCATTTGGTATGGTTGACGTTCTGAAATTTTGAACACTTCACGCAGGTAATCGACAAGTCCGCCGTAGTCAACAAACGTCGTCGTACTGTATCTTTACATAGTATAACGCCTGGAACTAAGAGATCTTGATATCACTTCAACTTTTGCCCAAGTTCTGGCAAACCAGATATCGACGGCTTGTCGGAAGAACGCGCACAGTATTTATTCATTTCCAGTAATTTAGGCATAGTATATGTAATTAACACTAATCTGATCTCTGTTGCATTGCCCAAATTTGACCCATTTATGCCGATTGTGTCCTCATACTCAAAAACCTACTCGTTCTATCCGGGTTACAGAAGAACGCCGCAATTTTGGCCTAAAAACGGATCCTATCCAGATTTGGCGTTATCTCAGCGGCCTATTTACTTGCTATGGCCCTTATTTACCCTGACAAATCAAGTGTGGGATGGTATTTTATATCACTGTGATTCTCTTATCTTCTTTGACATTTGATTTTTTAACTGTTTTTATAACTTGTTTCCGGAATACCTCCTATACCTTCTTTGAGTTAGCCAAAACTCCGGTCGAGACTATTTCGAATTCGTTTAAATTCCATCTTCCCTGTCAGTTATCATGATTTTATATTCGAATAAATACTACTGAATACTTTTGGTATCCCAGTCATGTGGAAAGCGTATTTAGTTATACATATATATATACATGTGTATGTGTGTGTGTGTAAATTAACACTGGTTCGCTGGTATTGAATAACAATCGTTAGAATATCATGGAGTACCTGCTTTGAAAAAATGTTTAATATTTCTCTGAAATAGCATTCACATAGTCTAAGCTTAGGCTTATGATAGTGAAAGTTATATTGGATAGTTAATGGGCTCGCAAATAACTTTTAGAGGCCTGCTGGACAAGAAGTCATCAGTTTTTGTCAGAAATTCTAAGGTGCCGCGTTAAATACGGTTCTTGCCGTAGCGTACGATATTGATGTGGACGCAACAGAGAATCTGAAATGGCCTATTTACGCGAATTTCAAATTGTTTTTAACCCGAACCACCGGCGTGTTCCATTCATGTTATTATTGTGGCTTTTAAAGTATATATTACTTTATTATTTATTAGAGAGTGCTACAGACTTTTTCTCGGAGTTCACCTCTGCAATAGTCAAGCCTGACGCCGGTACAATCCAAAACGCAAAAATATCAACATTTTCGACACAGAGCAGGTGGAGCAGAAAACAAGTCCTAAGAATGGACATTTAATCGTGGCACAGTCATTCATGTCTTTCGTGGAAGTCTTCGATACATCAGCTAATGCGTTTTAATATACGATTTATTTATTAACGATGCATCTAGAGAGACAGATCAGATTAAACAGATAGACTCAAACACACAGATAGACACAGACAAACAGACAGACACAGAAACACAGATAGATAGACACGGAAAGACAGACAAACAGACAGAGAGACAGACACAGACACACAGATAGACAGACACGGAAAGACAGACAAACAGACAGAGAGACAGACACAGACACACAGATAGACAGACACGGAAAGACAGACAGACACAGACAGATCAAATCTGAGAGATTAGGCAACTCAGATCAGATCAGACAGATAGACAAACACAGACAGACAGACACAGACAAATCAGATTAGGTCAGTTAAATCAGATCAGACAGACAGATCATACCAGACAGATTAGATCAGATCAGGCAGATCAGATCATACAGATCAGATTATACAGACACAAACGGACAGACAGATTGGATCAGATCTGACAGGCACAAACAGACAGATCAGATCAGGCAGATCAGATCAGATCAAACAGATCAGATCAGACAGACAGACAGATAGATCGGACCAGATAGATTAGATCAGATCAGACCGAACAAGTCAGATCAGGCAGATCAGATTAGACAAATCAGATCAGATAAATCAGATAAGGTCAGACAGACCAGCTTAGGTCAGACAAAATAGATCAGATCAGACAAACACAGACGGAGACAGACATAGGCAGACACGGACAGACAGACACAAACAGACGGACAGACACAGACAGATCAGATAAACACAAACAGATAGATAGACACAGACAGACTGACACAAAGAGACAGGCAGACACGGACAGACAGACAGACACAGACAGACAGATCAGATCTGACACAGACAGACAGACACAGGTAGACAGATCACATCAAACAGATCAGACAGATCAGGTAAATCAGATAAAGTCAGACAAATCAAATCAGACAAATTAGATAAGGTCAGACAAATCAGATCAGAACTAACACAGATAGACAGATCAAGTAAGTCAGATAAGGTCAGAGAAATCAGATCAGACAAATTAGATAAAGTCAGATCATGTTAGACAAAACAGATCAGATCGGACAAACACAGACAGATCAGATCAGACAAACACACAGACAGATCAGATCAGACAGGCAGACATAGACAGACACAAACAGACAGACAGACAGACACAGATAGACACGGATAGACAGACAGACAGACACAGATAGACACGGACGGACAGACAGACAGAGAGACAGACACAAAAAGACAGGCAGATACGGAAAGACAGACAGACACAGATAGACACGGACAGACAGAGAGACAGACACAAAAAGACAGGCAGATACGGAAAGACAGACAGACACAAATAGATCAGATCAGAGCAGACAAATCAGATCAGACAGGTCTGACAAATCAGGTCAGACAGACAGATAGACAGACAGATCAGATCATATCAGGCAGATTAGATCAGATCGGGCAGATAATCAGAATAATTAGATTAGATCAGACAGCTCCAATCAGACAGACAGACAGATCAGATCAGACAGGCACAGAGAGACAGATCAGATCATATCAGACAGATTAGATCAGACAGACAGACAGATAGATTAGATCAGATCAGACCAGACAAATCAGGTAGACCAGATCAAGCAAATCAGATAAGGTCAGACAAACCAGCTCAGGTCAGACAAAATAGATCAGGTCAGACAAACACAGGACACAGGCAGACACAGACAGACGGGCAGATACAAACAGACTGATACAGACACGGACAGACACAGATAAACACAGACAGGTAAGATAAACAAACAGACAGACGGACACAGGCAGATACAGACAGATAGACAGACACAGACAGACTGACACAAAGAGACAGGCAGACATGGACAGACAGACATACACAGACAGACAGATCAGACAAATTAGATAAGGTCAGACAAATTAGATAAGGTCAGACAAATTAGCTGTCTGTGTCTGTCTGCCTGTCGGTCTGATCTGATCTGATCTGATCTGCCTGATCTGATTTGATTTGTTTGATCTGATCTGATTTATTTGATCTGATCTGATCTAATCTATTTGATCAGATCAGACAGGCAGACACAGACAGATCAGATCAGACAGGCAAACACAGACAGATCAGATCAGACACACACAGACAGACAGGCAGATCAGACAGACACAGACAGACTGACACAAGGAAACAGACAGACAGACAGAAATAGACAGACAGACAGACAGACTGACAGATCAGATCAAACACAGACAGGCAGACACAGACAAGCAGACGCAGATAGACAGACAGACATAGACTGACAGATCAGATTAAACAGATCGGATCAGATAGATTAGATTAGATCAGATCAAATAAATCAAATCAGATCAAACAAATCAAATCAGATCAGGCAGA